CCGCACACCCCAGGGCATGGCTGTAAGGCAAGGAATTAATTCCAAGGTCAACTGGGGGCAGGAGAACCTGGGCCGCCTGTGGCTCTGCAGAAAAGGGCTCCGGGTGATTGATTGGAGCCGAGCCTCTGAGTTCACTACAAGATATGCCTTCCTTTTCCCCCAGGCATTCACAGACTTCCTCACTGATGTCAGCATCCCCACCTCAGACCCATTTCTTAAGGGCCTTCTGAACGGACTCACCTGTTATCTGGGAGGCGATGTCTGCCTCTGATTAGGCACCAGAGGCTTCCCAGATGTAAAGCCAAGAACCCACATCAGCCCTAGACGGTTTGGCTCAGTGGGTAGAGTGTCCCTACAGACTGAAAGGTGCTGGGTTCGATTCTGGTCAAGGACACAGGCCCGGGTTGTAGGCTTGATCGCCAGTAAGGGGCATGCAGGAGGCAACCGATCAATGATTCTCTCTCATCATTGATGTTTCTATTTCTCTCTCTCTCTGTCTTCCTTTCTCTCTAGAATCAATAAAAGAAAAAAATTTTTTTTAAAAGAACCCACATCAATTAAAGGGAAAATGAAAGGAAGAAGGGAAGAATAAGAGAGAGAATGGAAAGATAGGGAGAAGAAGAGAGAGAGAGGGAAAGAGAGAGAGAAGGAATCTGATATTTTTATTGAAATGTTTTCCAATCTGGAAAGCTATCTTTTATTCTGATTCTGCACTCTACATATTGGAGACATAAAATTATTCCTGTGTTGTGTGTGCGCCTCCTTTTGACGTTAAAAGAACACCCTTGAACAGAAATGCTCAAGGAACACTCCTATGATTCTTTTTGATAGAAAAAAAAAGTCAATTTTTCTAAGAAATGATGCTCATCAGAGATGTTAATCTTTTTAAACCTACGGACAAAATAAGTTAGCAACCCGCTATGAGAGCCCAAACTCGGATTTTAACATTGTCCTTGTCTGTGAAACCTTAAAGTAAGAGGAGTGACTACATTACGGGATTCACTGCCAACAAACAGAGAGCAGGCCCCTCGCTCATGGGACAGTAACCGGTTAGATTTGGTTGGAAGATAAGACTGCTGCTTGGTCTGGCTGGGGCCTGAAGGGTTGCTGAGTTCAGAAAGGGGTGAGGACATTCTAAAAGGCTGGGGAGTTAGAGGGGGCGCTGGACCCAGAGGAAACAGGGTCCTGGAAGTGGAGGGTGCAGGAAGGAAGAGCAGAGGCTCCCAGGCTCTCCCCCTCTCCCCCCCTCCCCCCCAGCCAACACCAAACATCCCAGCGCCCTGAAGCCCTTGTGAGCTCTCTGCAGTAACCAGTGGATGGGAGCTGGGAGCAGCCGACTCACACACAAGTTCTCCCGCCCCCAGGTCTCAGAGTAGTGATTTCCTAGAAGACCGTTGTCTGTGGGCTGCAAGTTTATGAAACACTCACAGAAATCATGCCCCAGACATCTGGCCGGCTCACACTGCGGGGGAGGGCTCGGCCACAAGGCCTGAGGGCAGGCTGGGCTCCCCGGCCCTCGGCGGGCAGGAAGTGGGCAGACGATGCTGGCCAGTGGGCCTCACTGAGGACGGACAGGGGAGTCTGTAGGTCAGCGCCCAGAGGCCACGGAAGCCTCCCGGAGTGACACACAGCGCCTACCCCGATGACAGTTCCCATGACGGGCAGTGCAGGGGTCACAGTGAGATGATTCACAAACAAAGGAAAGACAAAGGTGTTCACTGAGAAATTCTCCGTTTCTGAGAATATTTGGCTCCGGCGGAGTCAGAGGGGTGGGAAAGTGGCCAGGTTTGTTTTGGGCCCATGGTTCTGTCTCCTTTTGCCACTGAATTAGTTATCCATCGTTGGAGATAAATCTCTGCAAGCCTAGAGGAGTGAAACACTCACTATCTCACAATGCCTTCGGGTCAGGAATCCGGCTTAGCAGGTCCGAGCTGAGACTCACTTCCAAGTCCCCCCCCACAGCAGTCAGCAGGCCGTGCACCCTGGCTGCCTGCGATGGGGTTCTCCACTGGCTGCCGCCTCATCGCAGAGGCTGCCCCCCAGCTGGTGTCTGTATTCTGTCCGTGAGGGGCTCCTGGGCCCAGTGCATCCTCAGGGAGAGGGACCGCACAGGGCGTGAGTCAGGAGGGGGCCTGTTCTAGTGATATTAGTGTGATGTTTTAAGGATTTAAAACAGTGTAAGAAAAATTATTTGTGTGATTTAAAATAGGAATGAAAGCATTTACTTTTATGAGTGATTTATAGTTTAAGTGTGAATTGTATTTCTGATCTTATTCTGATTTTAAGTAAAAGAAATTATTTGAGATGTGTTTTAGTATAAGGAACTCCATATAATGTGACTTGAATCCATTTTGTAAAACTCAAATGGATTCAAGTCACATTATATGGAGTACTTATACTAAGTATAAAACACATTTCAAGTAATAAAAGAAGATATTAACGCAGCAGGGCTGGTGTAGGGGTGAAATACAGGAAGGAATGAGAGAGGGTGTGGAGAAAAGAGGCTCCAGAAAGACACTCCGAGGAAGGGGTCCCGACTTCACCTCCCAGATCAAACTACGGAGATGAGTCCATAAATACGCATTTGTTTAATCTATTTTTTCCCCCCATTGATTTCAGAGAGGGAGAGACAGAAAAATCAATGATGAGAGAGAATCATTGATGGGCTGCCTCCTGCACGCCTCACAATGGTAATCAGGCCTACAACCCAGGCATGGGTCCCGACTGGGAATCGAACCCTGACCTCCTGGTTCATAGCTCTCTCGGGCTCTCTCCTATCCAGTCCGCTCAGTGTCTCCCCTTCCACCATTGTCTCCTTGCATGACCTGCCCTGCAGCAGCCTGAGGCCAGATTTCTATGGTACACAGCTCTTAAAACAGCAAAAATATTTGGCAAATGACTCCGGCCCGGCAGACACACACAAGCATGTTTTTGATTTGCAGTAATATCCTTGGAGGCTTGTTCTCTTATCGACAATAAATACCCTGTTTCCCCGAAAATAAGACCGTGTCTTATATTAATTTTTGCTCCCAAAGATGCATTAGGTCTTATTTTCAGGGGATGTCTTATTTTTCCATGAAGAAGAATACGGTACACATTTATTGTTAAATGAAAATAAAGGAAATTTATTACCTGTATACGGAATGGTAGTACGGTAGTTGTCAACACAAACCAGACAAACTGAATCCCACAGTATCAAGAATTTACTCATTTATTCAATGACAATCATGTCATCATCTTCTGGAACATCATCATAACAATCCAATTCCTGAATTTCCTGGTGAATTTCTTGTGACTCCATTTCTTTCAGAATCAGTGGACCAAATCTCTCATGTTTAGCATAGGGAGGGCCTTATTTTCGAGGGATGCCTTATATTTCACTCAGAAGGAAACCTGTAAGTAGGTCTTATTTTCGGAGGATGTCTTATTTTTGGGGAAACACGGTATTTGGTTTTACCCAGAAAAGAAAAGAGGGAAAAAAAGAAAAAAAGGAAAAGAAGCCATATCAAGTTGTAATTTATAGCAGAAAGAACAGGTAATTCTTACCATCCAATCAAATTACCAGAAGCTGGAAGGGACAGGGAGAGTTCATCAACTCCATGTCCTTCCAGGCCAGCCAGAGAGATCCTCAAAATATAATATCCCCATCAACAGGCCGTCTCTTATTTCACCCTTGGGCCACCTCTAGTTCTTGTCCCAACCAGTATTTATTTTATATATAACCGAACCTTTCCGATTGCAATTTACAGCCTTCTCTCCAGTTCTGACCTCAGGAGAAATGGCAGATGCTCACAGAGCTTTTAATAAAAAGGTTTTCATTAAGTCACTGTTCACCTCGGTCCTGCCGCCTCTGAGCGCTTTCTTCGTGGCTCTGCTTGGCCTGCATTCCTGACAACAGGCAGCCCCGTGTTTTATCCACCAGAGGATTAAGACCGTAACTTAGATTCAGGTCAGTACGACTGAAATAACTGGGTTTCGTTTTTTTTTACAAGTTCTCCAAACTAGTGTTGGGTCCTATGAGGTGATTTGGCTTGAACAGAAAACATTTTAAAATTGCAACCACTTTTCCTTGATGGCCACTTAAAAATCAGAAATGTAAACGTTTTGTTAGCCAGCCTCTGCTTTCACCGGATGGGACTGAGCTTGGTGAAGAGCTTGGTTCCTTCGTCATTCAGATTGAGATCAAAGGCTGTTTTCCTCCAGTAGTTTTAATTGTTTGCATTGACAGGGCCTTCTGAGCGAAATTAATAAGCAATTCCGAAAATTGCACCCGGGGCCTAATGGTCTTCCAAAGCAACTTCAAACTGAAGTTCAGGAAGGATGGGTCTTTTTTATCTGTTGTTCCTTTAGGATGTCTTGTTGGACGTTGGGCAAAAAAGGGAGTCACCATTTTATAGACAAGAGCCTGATGCAGGCCTTGGCCAGGTGACTCAGTTGGTTAGAATGTCATCTCAATTTGCCATGGTTGTGGGTTCGATCCCTACTCAGGGCACGTACAAGCATCAACCAATGAATGCACAAATACGTGGAACAACAAATCGCTCTCTCCTTCTCCTCCGCCCTCCCTCCATCCCTCCCGTCCTTCCTTTCTCTTTCTCTCTCAAAAAATCAATAGAAAAGAGAAAGCAGAGCCTGGTGTGAAGAAGTTGCCACAGGTGACCCACCTGGGCTGCAGCAGAACCAAAACTTGGTCTCCTCGCCTTCAGCCAAGCTGTTGACACTAGACATCATTCTAAAAAAAACAGACACCTCTTCAGCAGGATTTCTCTCGTGAGGATTTAAGGACACGGTGGTTTGTTTTGCTTTCTTTTGCATTCTCTCCATGTTGAGCCTTTCCTAAAATGATATCGCCACAACGATTGCTTACACAACAAACAAAACCCTGTCCCGTCTGGGGAAATGATTCCTCCAAATGTCACCAGCCCTCGGCCCTAGAGAAAACGCCTTCTGGTGTTCAGGAACCAGCAACATGCCCGGAACCACAAAGCCCTCTTACTCACAGGTGGAGAGGATCATGGCTGCCCCTCGGCCCGCGGCGCACACCCCAGCCTGCAGCTCGCCGGCGCTGCTCCCGTCACCAAAACACATCTTTCGACTGAAATCGTAGCTCCGCCAAGATGCTTCTCGTGGGCAAGGTTAACCCCACCTATCTTCCTGTTCTGAAACCTCAGACGCGTGTGAATGGCGGCCGAGAAAGTGCCACAATCTGCACCCAGATCTCCGGGGAGGGCGGTGCCAGCCACCCGCTTCTCATTCCCAACCGTGTGGGCGACGCCAGCAAACAGCACTTGCAAGAAATCACAACATTGGGCAGAAAAGGGGCCTTAAAAGTCATCAGATCACACTGCCCTCTCAGGACAGGGAAGCAGAAGGGAAGGGACATGCTTAGTGGCAGCAGGATTAGATTGTAAATTGTGGAGCACACAGTCTAGAATGTTCTGTCCCCTTACTCGGTATAGACACTGCAGGGACTATTAGAGGAAACCTTTTTTTTTTCTTTTTCTTTTTTTTTTTTTTGGGGGGGGGGGGGCGGGGGAGTTGCAACCAATAAAATTATCCCCATGAAAGGTGACTAGAGCATGGCCAAAAAATATAAAAACACCGTCACTATAAACAGTGCACCCATGGGCTTCACTTCATCCCCTAGGAAAATATAAAAATTAACTGGAATTTAGCTGACAGAGTGTCGGCCTGCGAACTGAAGGGTCCCGGGTTCAATTCCGGTCAAGGGCATGTACCTTGGTTGCGGGCACATCCCCAGTAGGGGGTGTGCAGGAGGCAGCTGATCGATGTTTCTCTCTCATCGATGTTTCTAACTCTCTATCCCTCTCTCTTCCTCTCTGTAAAAAAATCAATAAAATATATATATATTTTTTAAAATTAACTGGAACTAAAGGGAACCGCTCTGATGAAGAGGCAGCACGCTCACCTACTTCCTGCCTCACAGATTGAGATCTCTGCGCATTCTGGGTGGGTTCTTCTATTTTTACTTCACCTCTTGCCCTAGCAATGCTTCTACGTAAAAACTTTTTTTTTTTTTTCCTCACGTTTTAGTGAAACATTGAGAGGTTTCTGAAAAACGCGCTGCCAGGTATGACTCACCTTGTCCTCCACACCCATGAGCTACAGAACAGTCATCGCAAGGGCTGCGTTTCTCCGCACTTTCGGCCACGCCATCCGGCGCCCTGAACTCGGCTCCTCGGGGTGAAAAGGGGAGGTTGGGATGGGTCTGGGATGAGGGGAGAGGGGAATCTAGGTGAGGGGGGGAGGAGTGAGAAGTGTGACAGTGAGACTGGGGTATGACTCGAATATGATCCACTTCTTGCATGAGCTACAGCTCGGTTCAAAGGTGTGCACGTGTGTGTGTGTGTGTGTGTGTGTGTGTGTGTGTGTGTGACGGGGTACACACAGTTAAACAGGAAGATGAGGAGGCAGGTGGCAAACAGACTGCGACAGCACTCAGGAGGGTTGTTTTTGTATTTTTCCATTCTCGGGGGCGGGGATCAGGAAGGACAGGAGGCAGCCTGCAGAGGGTGGACTGGCCGGGAGGGAAAGCAATGGTTCCCCGGGTCTCAGGGGAGGTGCTGCCCAGAGCAGCCGTGTTCCCACGCGCCCCCAGCACCGGGGACACCAGGCGGTCCACGGGGCGGACGGAGCTCCCAAAGGCCTGTGTCTCCTCTGGCTTCCTCCCCACACCATGGGAGAGCGTGTGCAGGGCAGCCCAGCCTCTGCTGTCGACGACGGGGACTGTGTTGCTTCCCCTGGGCTCACGGGGACAGGGGATGGCTCTCCCTCAGCAGGCGTCCGAGTCAGAGATTATAAGGGTCAGAAACCTATTCAGCCGAAACCGGTTTGGCTCAATGGATAGAGCGTCGGTCTGTGGACTGAACAGAAAATATCAGATCAAACTGCCCTCCCAGGAGGTCCCAGGTTCCATTCTGGTCAAGGGCTTGTACATTGGTTGCGGGCACATCCCCAGTGGGGAGTGTGCAAGAGGAAGCTGATTGATGATTCTCTCTCATCAATGTTTCTAACTCTTTGTCCTTCTCTCTTCCTCTCTGTAAAAAATCAATAATATATATACATTTATTTATTTTTATTTTTTTTTAAAGAAGGCCTCCCGAAAACCATCGCAGACAGCCCAATCCATGATGCTCTGCTTTTTCCCCGGTCTCTCTGCCAGAGCTGGAGCTTGCCCACCAGTCTTGTCACGACAGGGCAGCATCTGTGGTGAAGGTCACCTGTCCTTCTGTCCCAGCCCCGCACAGCTTCTGTGTCCTGGGACAGAGTCTCAAGCTGTAGGAACGGACTGATTGCCATCAGTTCCATTTTCCACCTAACTCCAATACCAAAGGTGAGGCCCCTTAGCCCAGACGTGTCTACCTAAGTGAGGAGAGGGCATTCATGACAGAAGAGTCCAAGCTTTTTTTCTCTTCAGTAAGAAATCGTTCATCTCCAGGATAAAGGAATTGACAGCTGTGCAGCACCACCCCAAGACATAAGAAGGTTAGCTCAGATGTTATAGAATTCAAAGTTTCCATTAAAAAACATCTCATGCCCTGGAGGGTGGCTCAGTTAGTTGGAGTGTCCTGTGCACCAAAATGTTGCGGGTTCAATTCCTGGTCAGGGCATTCCTAGGTTGTGGGTTCAAATCCCTGTCAGGGTGCATACGGGAGGTAACTGATCAGTGTTTCTCACATCGATGTCTCTCTCTTCTTTCTTTCTCCTCCTTCCTCTCTCTCAAAAAATCAGTAAAAACATATTGTTGGGTACGGATTAAAAATAATAATTACAAAAAACAAAAGACAATGCATGTTTCTTATAAATATATAACTTTATATATTATATATATTCACAATATATACAGGGTACAAACGTTTTGTAATGTAATACTAATGGCATGTTTTCAAAACAAAAGATGGGTACATCCAATGTGGTTCCTGGTTCCTCCAGAACCTGCATCAGACGGTGCCCCAGGCCCAGATTGCTGTGGAAGTGAAGGGGAAGAGACGGGTTGCTGCAGCCTGGCTCCAACACCCGTGCCCTCCCCAAACTCCCTGGTCTTCCACTGGCACCAGCCAGCATGGCCCAGGTGCACCCTCAAGTGGGTGACCCTGGGGCATCGGCATGGCACCCCTGTGGGCACGGAAGCCTGTGGAGTGTCTGAGAGTGCTTTTAACCACCATCTCTAAGGCAGCATCTCCATGACCTGGAAGACTCAGTCATGGGGCTCAGGATGGTCTAAAAGCAGAGGCGTGAGGTGTTTTCAGTTTATCAGTAAAAACAATCTACATATCCACACGCTAAATAAATTAAGAGTGAGCTACAAAGTGCCGTTTCTTCCTTGTGCTGCGGAATCCGGAAGCCACTGGTCCCAGCACCCCTTATCTTCCAAAGGTTTCCTCACACTCCACCAGCTCATCGATGGTGCGCAGCAGGTCTTCAAAGGAAGGCCTCCCCTCAGGTTTCTACGATTAAAAACCAGAGAGAAGCGGTGGGTTCCAGGCTCCATTCCAAAAATGATTTCCCAAACTCATATAACAGAGCGCTCTAGAGCAAGGTACTCGTTGCTCTGGGACTGGAACATGCAGGCACCTCCAAAAGGGTCTGACCCAGCCTGCATGTACTGCCGCTGGCCTGCGTTCTGCTTCTGTTTTTGTGCTCCCACTCAAGAACCAAATGCAAAATCAAGTCCTGCTAATCAGCTCTCTATAACCTGTCCACCCCCACCTCCTTGGGACCAATTTCATTTCCCTGAAAAAAAACGCTCACATGGCCTCTCTGCTCAGTCAAACCAGTCTCCACCCTCGAGTCCACACACCAGGGTCATTACCACATCCCTGCCTTTGCTCATGCTGTCCTCTCTCCCCCTGACCACTCCCTGGCCAGAGCCTCTGCCCATCCTAGTCAATGTGCTTAGGAGGCTTATGGCAAATGACTGGGAGCTTTGGAGTCAGATGGGACTCAGGTCCTCTGTAGCCAGGTGGCCTCATCAGCTTCATGAGTCTTGGTGTTCCCATCCAGAGTCATCACAGCACCTCCAAGGGTTATCTTTGGAAACTAAATCTGAAGCATTCAGTACAGGGCCTAGCATATGATACATGTGAGCTGATGTTATTATCTTTAATTATGGTCATCTTTCAAAAGTCATTTTGGTCTTTAATCTCGTCTATGAGATGACAGTTCAATGCAGTTGGAAGGTAAACTTCCAAAGAATGTGAGTAAAAAGACCCGAGAAAGTTGAGGGCTGGAGTGAGGAACCCTTACTGGAGAAAGAGTGATATTTCAACCGTAAGAGACTCCCAATGAACGAAGAGCCCCTTCTGCAGGCTGGTTCCTGCGTCCCTAACTCAGTGGCAGGGTCCGCACTCCGTCGTGGGGCAGCCTGAACCCATCATCTTAATTATTAGCATTTTCCACTTCTCCCAATTCTTCTTCTCATTATTCAGAACTGAGTCCAGTTCTGAGACTCGGCTTCCTGCCTAAGGTTCAAACCACGTAAACCATGCACTCACCCACAACTCACTGAACCATAAAGACTATACATTATTCATCTACCAAGACAAGATCCACCAATGGTTTAAAGATTCCAAAATTAAAAGCACACACAAAAAATTCCATACCTCCTGCCAACATCTCAGCATCACTTCGTAGACATATTTGGACGCCAGCTTGGGCCGGTGGAGGCGGTGGCCGCGAGTGACCATGGTTACCACCTCATAGTTGGTGTTCTTCTCGAAGGGCATCCTGCCCTCAGTGAAGACTTCCCACATGAGGACACCTGGAAGGGGCACGGGTTACCACGGGAGGCACAGCTTCCCCTTCAGAGCGGGCGGAGGGAAAACGGGCAGCGGGTCTTACCGAAGGACCAGACGTCCGATTTGCTGCTGAAGCGGCTGTAATTGAACACCTCGGGCGGACACCACTTCACAGGAAACTTAGCACCAGAAGAACTTGTGTACTGGTCATCCAGGACGTACCTTGAGTAAGAAAAACACAGTATCGGTTTACACCTCTGAGTTCTGATCTGCATCTAGAACATGTTCTTGCTTTCCACCACCCTCTCCCTCCCTTAGAATAAAAAATAAAAAAACACAGTTGGCTGAAGTCCAACAAGCATCCGGTGGAAGCTGAATGCTTGCTTTGGTGGCCATGCCTGGTGATTTCCACCTCAGCTTTATTTACTTGAAATGGATGGACGGTGACATTAGTATCTGTAGTTTCACTTTTGTCTTTTCTTTTTTATAAGCAACAGAGGCAGAATGCAATAAAAAGAGCTCGCAAACGTTTCTTTGTGAGCAGTTCTGGTACAGAGTTTTACCCAAAGGCCCCGCTTGTAAAACATCTGAAGCAAAGCTGTGCAAAAGGAAGTGGTGAAAGGCACTTGGAGACATACGTGGTTTTAGCCCCCACAATTCCACAGAGCGCAACTTAAAGCTATAGCAAATTAAAAAAGCAAATTGCAAAATGACATGTGTAAATGGTGGAGTATATATTCATAAACCAATGATATTGCTCCTACACACACACACACACACACACACACACACACACACAAACAACAACAAACTACTATATACTTTTTCTATGGGCGCATACTTCTATCTTTCTAGAACACTATGACTTGGGAGAATCCTTGATTGGCATGGTACACATGGCAACTTCAGCCCTTTCTGTCACGTGTTCAATATGTATTTACAAGAGGAATGTGTTTGTGTGTTACATGAACATAGAAAGTTAATTTCTAAAAGCTCCTTGTTCCTGGGGGAAATATTCAAGCCATCGCACGGGCCTCCTTTGCTGTATAGACAGAGATGGTGACGATGCCACCAGGGGCTGGATCAACCTGTCTGTCCATCGGAGGAGACTGAATTTGTGCATAATGAGTGTGTTAGAGGGGCTGACACAAAAGCACACATTTTCTGAAAGCCAACCACATGAAAATGGAACATGAAGGCCTGCCTGTCAAATACAGAACATCTTTGTACAAAGCAAACCAAGAGCAGTGGGTAACTAACCCCCTGACTGCCAGCAGTCCCAATCCCACTGCTGACAGTAACACAGCTTTCTTCCTTCCTTCCTTCCTTCCTTTCTTTCTTTTTAAATGTATTTTATTGATTTTTTACAGAGAGGAAGGGAAAGGGATAAAGAGCTAGAAACATCGACCAGCTGCCTCCTGCACACCCACTACTGGGGATGTGCCCGCAACCAATGTACAGGCCCTTGACCGGAATAGAACCTGGAACCTTTCAATCTGCAGACAGATGCTCTATCCACTGAGCCAAACCGGTTTCAGCAGTAAGAGAGCTTTCTAAGCTCCCAGGCCCTGAGTCTCCTTAGGAGTTGACCTTGACCTGTATGCCTGTTCCTGCATCCCTTTATTATTGCTCTTTGTGTTGGCCATGGGCAAGCCACCCTGGCTCTTTAAATTCCTTGAATAGGCCAAGCTTGCCTCAGATTTCAAACGTTTAAAAAATATATATGTGTTCTTTTCTTTTTTCCATCATCATCCCCCCATCCTCTCCTCCACCTCCACCAGCTTTCAAACTTTTATACTTGCTGTTTCTCTACCTGGAATATTTTACCCTCAGGTTTTCACCATACTGGCTACTTTCTGCCTTTTTTGGTTTCATTTAAATATCTGGGTCTCAAAGAGGCCTTCTGGAGTGCCATCACCCCTCCCTTACTTCATCACCCAGCACCTGCCCCACCCCCAACACCAAGCTTTCTCTATCACAGGGGCCAGCAAACTGTTTCCGCAAAGGGCCAGATAATGAGTATTTCCAATTTTGCAGGCCGGTTTCTGTCACAACCACTCCACTCTGCTTTTGTGCTGTGAGAGCAGCCACAGTCAAAACAAAGCACAAGCAAGGCTGTGACCCAGTCACGCTTTACTTATGGACACTGACACCCGAATGCCAGAAAACTTTCACGTGTGTATTCCTCTAATTCTTTCCCAACCATTTAAAAACGTGCAGTCCTAGCAGGTCTGGCTCAGTGGACAGAGTGCTGGCCTGTGGTCTAAAGGGCCCCAGGTTCAATTCCAGCCAAGGGCACATGCCTGGATTGCAGGTTCAATCCCTCCCCAACCCCCACTAGGGGGTGTGCAGGAGGCAGCTAATCAATGATTCTCTCTCATCACTGATGTTTCTCTCTCTCTCTCTCCCGTCCTCTCTGAAATTAACCAATATATATATATAAAATAAATAAAAATGTGAAAATTGTTGTTGACTCACAGGTCATACAGAAAGGGGGGTGGGGTCAGATTTGGCCCAGGGGACGTAGTCTGCTGAACCCCTGCTCCATCACATCACTCCGTCCTCTGTGTTTGCCCCTCTGTGTGTCTCAGGTCCTATGTCTCACCTTCCTCTTGAATATAAACTGCATGTGGGTGGGGACTCATATGTCTTCCTCTCTGCTATGGTTCAGTCTAACACTGTGCCTGGAACATATGAGGCACCTAATCTCTTAATGATGGATACATGGATGAATGAATGCACACAGAGGAAGAAGGACAAACTATAGAAGGACAAATTAAAATTTCAAAAATTAAGCAAATACAAACAGAACAGATTTGGGTATTCTAAGAACTTTACCCCGAAACAGATTTCTGTAAAAACAAAAGATTCTAAAAATCTAATCCACACCAGGGAGAAAAGAAAGTAGTGTATTTAACAGGCTATACCACCACCTAGTGGGGAGGATTAACAATAATTAACAAAAATGTATCCACATTTTAATGACTATATGTGTCTCAAAAGAGCCAGCTAATAAGCTTACCTTTCTGCTTCATTAGAGCAGATTATCCCCATGCTTATTCATTCTACATGCCAATATGAACATCACATAATAAAGCATTAAGCAATCATAATTTCTCAACAATTTGTTTACCTGAGGAAAAGCCACAGCTAACAGTAAAGGACACGCTCAGCAAAGAAATCTTCCAAAAAGGCAAGTAATTTATTTTATTAGCTTATATAATAAATACTAATAAATGGAAAAATCAATTAGTTCCTCTATAAAAAATGAAGGGTACTATCAATATTTTTGCTAATGTAACAAAACATGTGGTTTCAGAACAGCGCTTACGAAGGCTTCCGAGGAAGAAGCTGACAGTCAAACTGCAAGAAAAAGTCAGACTTTCTGTACTTTCAAGGGAAAGGTCACAGTTTCACATTAATTTAATCTAAAAGTTATAATAAAAATGGTCACATATACTCAGACTTACCTGGCCATTCCAAAATCAGATACTTTCACAACTCCTGCCTCATTTACTAGACAATTTCTGGCAGCCTGGGAAACAACATTATAATGGCATGTTAGTTACAAAGTTCTACAATAACAGTGGGAAAATATAAGTTCTGTTTATATTGAGTTTAGGATGGCCCAGTCAGCATCTGCAGAGGGTGGAAATGTCTCTTCAAAAGTTGTTTGTGCCGGGACCAGTTTGGCTCAGTGGATAGAGCGTCGACCTGCGGACTGAAAGGTCCCAGGTTCGATTCCGGTCAAGGGCATGCACATTGGTTGTGCACACATCCCCAGTGGGGGGTGTGCAAGAGGCAGCTAGTCGATGTTTCTCTCTCATCGATGTTTGTAACTCTCTATCCCTCTCTCTTCCTCTCTGAAAAATCAATAAAATATATATATATATTTTTTAAAAAGTTGTTTGTACACCTATGGAAATGTCTCCAACATACAGTTGATCCTTGAACAACTTAAGTTTGAACTATATGGATCCAGTTACACATGAATTTTTTTTCAATAAATACATACAGTACTGTAAATGTATTTTATCTTCCTCGTGATCTATAATAATAAGAGCATAATACGCTAATTAGACCAGACATCCTTCCAGACAACTTCCGACAAAGCCGGGGATACGAGGGAAGCCCTGGGTCCCGGGTGCAGAGGGAAGCTGGTGCTGGCAACCAAAGGAAGGAAGGCCTACTCTTACACAAATTCTGTGCATTGGGCTTCTAGTTTTCTTAATAAGATTTTTTACTAATTTCTTTTATTGTAAGAATACAGTAAATAATACATATAAAATATGTATTAATGGGCGGTATGTTATTGGTAAGGTTTTTGGTCAACAGTAGGCTATTAGCAGTTAAGATTTGGGGGAGTCAAAAGTTATACACAGATTTTTAACTGTGTGGGAGTGGGATTCCCCTAACCACAGGAGGCAACCAATCAATGTTTTGTTCACACATCAATGCTTCGGCTCACTCTCCCACCCCTCTTCCTCTCTGTCTAAAATCAGGAAGGAAGAAGTCAAATTGTCACTATTTGCTAACAATAAGATCTTACATATAGAAAATCCAAAGCCAATAAAAAAAAAAAACCCTGTTGGAATTAACCGGTAAAGTGGCAAGTTACAAAATCAACTTATAGAAACCAGTGGCATTCTTTTACACTAATGATGAAGCATCAGGGGAAAAAAACAAAAAAAACCTATTCTCATTCACAATAGCATAAAAGTCAATACAATACTTAGGAATAAATTTAACCAAGGAAGTGTAAGATCTGTACAATGAAAACACATGATTTTGCTGAAAGAAATAAAAGAAGACACAAACAAGTGGAAAGACATCCCAAATTCATGGATTGGAAGAATAAATATTGTTGAAATGGTTATACCATCCAAAGCCCCTTATAAATTCAACACAATCCCCATCAAAATATCAAAGGTATTCCTCATAGAAATAGAAAAAACAATCCTAAAACTTGTGTGGAACCACAAAAGACCCTGCATAGCCAAAGCAAAAAAGAGCATAGCCAGAGGTATCACCCTTCCTGATTTTAACCTATACTACAAAGTCACAGTAATAAAAACAGTATGGTACTGCCATAAAATAGACCATGGAACAGATCAGAGAACCTAGAATTAAATCCTGGCATTTACAGTTAACTAATATGCCACAAGGGAGCCAAGAATACCCAACTAGGGATGAATGGTGCCAGGAAAACTGGAGAAACACACAAACAACAATGACATTGAACCTCTATCTCACACAACTCACAAAAATTAACTCTAAATGGATCAGACTTAAACATAAGACCTGACAACATAAAACTCCTAGAAGACAACCTGGGGAAGAAACTCAATAATATTGGTCTTGGCATTTTTTTTTTTTTTTTTTTTTTGCATAACACCAAAAGCAAAAATCAGCAAATGGGACTATATCAAACTCGAGAGCTTTTGGATGGCAAAAGTAATAATCAACAAAATGAAATAACAGCTTACATAATGAGAAAAAATGTTTGCAAACCACATATTGGATTAGGGGTTAATATTCAAAATATTTAAAGAACTTAAAAAAATTAAAAAATGGGCAGAAGAAATAAATAGATATTTTTCCAAAGACATCAAAATGGCCAACAGGAACATGAAAAGATATTCAACATCCACTATCATCAGAGAAATGCAATTCATAACCACAATGAGATGTCTCTTTACACCTGACAGAATGGCTATCATCAAGAAGACAAGAGACCACAAGTGCCGGCAAGGATAAGGTGAAATGGGAACCCTTGTGCATGTAAATTAATGGATGTAAATGAGTCCAACCACTATGAAAACAAAAAGTTAAAAAGAGACCTACCATATGACCTAGGAATTTCACTTCTGGCTGAATACTCAAAGGAAAGGAAAACAAGATTTTGATGAGATACATGAGCACCCATGTTTACTGCAGCAGTATTCACAATAGCCAAGATATGGAAACAACCCTAAGGCTCATCAATGAATGAGTAGATTTTTAAAAAGATGCGGTATATTATATACACAATGAATATTATTCAGTCCATGAGAAAGAAAGATATTCTGGCATTTGTGACAATATGTGTGGACAGGTACCTCGGATATCACTTAAAAGTGGAATCTAAAAAAAGTCAAAACTGGAAAAAAAAAGTTGAGAATAAAATTGTGGTTTTAGGGGAACGAGTGGTTCTACCAATAGACACATTCTGAAAAATAAGCAGAGAAGAAAAGAGAAAGAAAACAATGGGACAGAGGGGGCAAATGAGTAAGAGAAAGTAAAAATAAGGAAGTGTCTCCATCATAATCATTTATAACCAATAATAAAAGATTTACTTTTTCTGGTATTTTCAGGAATTAATATGGGTTCCACCTTTTTTTTTTTTAAATATATTTTATTGATTTTTTACAGAGAGGAAGGGAGAGAGATAGAGAGCTAGAAACGTGGATGAGAGAGAAACATCGACCAGCTGCCTCTTGCACACCCCCCACTGGGGATGTGCCTGCAACCAAGATACATGCCCCTGACCAGAATCCAACCTGGGAACTTTTAGTCCGCAGACTGACGCTCTACCACTGAGCCAAACCGGTTTCGGCGGGTTCCATCTTTTGAGAGATTAAAAAAATAATAATAAACCAAGGATTTCTGTTACATCATTTCTGCTGATAGTGTGTAAAGTGGAAAACAGCTTTGTATTTAGTTAAAACATGAGTCAAGCTTAACTTCCTAATTTAGCACCATTTGCAAGTCCTTTTGTGTCTCTAAAGTTAATTTTCTTATCTATAAAAGAATAATGGTCAGAAACACTCTCATGATTAGCTATTTCATGAGATTCTTATGGAGATCAACGAATCTATGCATGGTAACTTGCTGGGACATATTACCTGTCATTATGTATTATTTATACAACTGCCTATGTAATTATCTATACAGATAAAAGCCCAGCAACTGGAACAGTGTAATGACCAGAATGACTGGCTGCTATGACATGCTCTGTGGTGGCCAACGGGCCCCATCTGGGTCCTAATCAGCCCCCACAACCTCCTGCTGCCCCACCCCCCCAGCCAGCCCTGCCCCCAATAGGGGGCAGAGCCAGCTGACTAACTGCCCATGGCCCCTCCCAATCTGCCCCCCCACTCTAATCAGGGGTGGGGCTGGCCAGCCAACCTCCCACATCCCCTTCCTCATCCCAGTCCCACCCATGCATGAATTCATGCACCAGGCCTCTAGTGTATTATATAGATTTTTAAAAGATCCTTCTGTTAAAATTATGGCACATTAAACTTACCAAGTTTAAAAATAATAGTGAAATATTGCTGACCATAAAAATTGGATATTAACAGATTCTTGCTCATTGGCAGACCCTGCATTACAAAGGAATTTGGACAATGAAGGGGAATCGGGTGGCTCATAATTTACCAGATCTCTGTGGATGAAGCTGTTTCGCTCCAGGTACTCCATCCCTTCGCACACATCTTGGCACATGCTCAGCAGCACATCTCTACTGAAATGGCCTTGCCTCTGCCGGAGGAAGTTCAGCAGGCAGCCCCTCTCCATGAACTCGGTAACGATGTAAATCGGCTTCTGCTGGGTGCACACGCCATAGAGCTGCACTAACTTCGGGTGTGTCAGTTTCCTGGGAGGGAAGTCAGGCACACACACCGTTACTACAGGAAAAGGAACCATCGGGGCTCAGGCCGGGGAGGGGACACTGTTTAGTGCAAAAAGGGGAACCGGAAAGAACACGGAAACTTACATCATCACTTTGGCTTCTTCTATAAAATCTTCCTCGCACATCGCGCCTTCCCGAATAGCTTTGATCGCCACTTTGTACTGAGCTCGCCACTTGCCGAGCCTCACCACTCCAAACAGTCCACTCCCCAGCTCCCTCATAAAGGTCAGCTCTGAAGGGTTGATCTCCCATTTCTCTGTGAGACAGATGGGGAAAGTGATAAAATCTCATAAAGAGAACAAAGCACACATCAGTGGGAAATAAAGAATTATAACTCATGTCCATCTCATAGTCACAGGGTGGACGTCAGTGTATTAACAATGACTGGTAAAAAAAAAAAAAAAAAAAAAAAAAAAAAGAAGAGTAAACTTGCTGAAACCGGTTTGGCTCAGAGGATAGAGTGTCGGCCTGCAGAGTGAAAGGTCCCAGGTTCGATTCCGGTCACGAGCATGTACCTTAGTTGCAGGCACATCCCCAGTAGGGGGTTTGCAAGAGGCAGCTGATCGATGATTCTCTCTCATCGATGTTTCTATCTATCCCTCTCTCTTTCTCTCTGTAAACAATCAATAAAATATATTTAAAAAAAAAAAAAAAGAGTAAACTTGCAGCCTGCATTGAAACTGCACATGTGTCATGGACACGGACAACAGTGTGGTGACTATCGGGGGTGGGGCGGAGGTAGAGGAGAGTAGAGGAGGACATATGGTGATGGACAGAGACTTGCCTTGGAGTGTGAACATACATTGTGCAGATGACATGTTGTGTAATTGTGCACCTGAAACTTGCACCATTTTGTTAACCAGTGTCCCCCCAATTGAAGAAAAAAAAAAAATTTTTTTAACTGCAAATGGTGGCTCTCCACTCTCTGATGAAGGTGTACCTCTTTCTAAGTTGTCACAATACAAGCAAAGTGAACTGATCAAGGCAAGAAGATGTTGCATAATAGGCTAATCACAACAGAGTTTGAAAGTTAAACCTTAAAAACAATTCCTCCTTTACCACTCTTTCCCCTCATATTTTTTTTTGTTGTTGTTTGGTTTGGTTTGGTTTCCAATTCCAGCAATTCCTGCTATTTAAAAGTTTTATGCTGGAAGCAACAGAGACAATCAAGTGGAATGCCTTCTCTATGATCACCATCCTTACTTTTCTGGGAGTAACCAACAAAGCCAATGAGGACCAGAAAAGGCTCTGATTCGTTTTAGGTGTAAGATGGTAACTAATGCCTATTTTCCATTGACAGAGAGTTTTCTGTCGAAGTATGTCTATGATGAAAACAGAAAACAGAGGGTAACTACAGCTGTTAAGTATACTAGTAATCATCTAAAAACCCAGACTACAACACTTATCAAAACAGCTCTGCTGTGTGGAATGCCATTCATCTAAAAGGCCTTGCGATGATGGCTTCTTTTCAGGGAAACCTGGCAGGGCAAGAACAAACGCGAGTTACCGTAGCTGAATCCCGCAGTGGTGGGCGCCTTCTTCTCCTTTGCACTGACAGGGTACCGCAGCCTTGTGACAAGCCCTAGAAATCAAAGAAAGTATTGCCGTCAAATTCATTCATAATCGACCTGCATGGCCAAGTGGGAAGCTAAAATCCATAAAATCCATCCATTTAGTCACTCAGTGCTCATCCTCTGTGCGTGCATACAGCTCTGTGCCATATCCTGGCAAAAAATAAAGACAGGAAGGCAAGAAGGAAGGATGAGCCTACTGTCTGAGCTGACAATTTCATATTCTTATGTAGCAGGAAAAACTTGAATATATATGTATATTCACACTTTTATTAATTCAATAAAAAAATTTTAAAATACTACAGTGCTTATCAATATGCAATCTGTACTATGAAAGGGAACTACAATATTTAATAATAATTGATTCTCTGGCCCAGTTGCTGTGGCTCAGTGGATTGAGAGTTGTCCCATGGACTAGGAGGTCCTGGGTTCAATTCCTGGTTAGGGCACATGACCAGGTTGTATGCTCAATCCCCAGTAGGCGGTGTGCAGGAGGCAGTCAATCAATGTGTCTCTCTCTTCAATGTTTCCATCTCTCTCCCTCTCCCTTCCTCTCTGAAATCAATAAAAACAAAATATTTTTTTAAAATAGATTACCCAGACATAATATTAGGAATCTTAACATAAAAAAAATCAGGCTCTAAAATATCAACAACTGGTAATACCAACTACTGGAAATCAATGAGGAACATTAAATCTTTTCATCTAAATTGCTAAAACACCAAATAAGAAAAAATGGCAGATATCTCTCCTATAAATACCCATTATACCCTGTATTTCCTCTATTACAGCATATCTCATACTAACTTAATATCATTATATACTTCTCTGCCTCCCATGCCAAGTGGTAAGATCTGAGAGAGACAGAAGATCTGGGAGAGACAGAATCAATGACTACCTAATCCACCATAATCTCCCTAGAACCTAGCACATTTCCCAGCATGCACTAGACAATACATGTTCATTAAATGAATGGAGATAATGGTGAAAGAAATAGTGTTATACAAACACTGAAAATAACATAATATAGTCTTAAAAAAAAGTCCTTTGAGGAATATATTGATAGGAAATGTTCAACACTGAGTTACCAAATGCTCAACATTGAGTTACCAAATGACCCAGAAAATCCATTTTACCAAAGGAATATGAAAGATATTTCCATGCCAAGACTTGTATATAAATATTCATTGCAGCATTATTCATAATAGCCAAAATATGGAAACAACCCAAATGTCTATCAACCGATGAATGATAACAAAATGGATAAACAAAGACCATACAATGATTTATTACTCATCAATAAAAAGGAATCGAGTACTTATATAAACTACATCATAAACTAACATCAAAAGCATTATGGTAAGTCAAAAAAGGTAGTCACAATTGAGCACACATTGTATGATCCCATTTATATAAAATATCTAGAAAAGGCAAATTTGTAGAGACACAAAGATTAGTGGCTGCCCAGGGCTGGACTGCTGAAAGGATACAAGACTTCTTTTGGGGTGATGGAAGTTGTTTGTAGATTATGGTGAGAGTTGGCACAACTCTGTAAATATTTTAATGATCACTGAATTGTACACAACTCTATAAATATATTAATGACCACTGAATCTCAATAACTGTTCCAGTCATTATCTGAGAAAAGTGAACAGTCACAAGTAGAAACAGACTTTGTAAAAAGTGCCTTCAATAAAATTTCAAAAGTTACTTTTTCATAAATTGGGTTAGACTCTTGGCTATCCCCTATTGGTTACATCTTTAAAGTCAAAGGCTAGACATGTTTCCTCTCTCACTCTGTGGAGCCTCAATGGGCATAAATGTGGCTTCTGGTGTTTGGTTAGTTCCCACTCTGCATGGTGAGGGTAGTAGAGATCCAGGAAGATGGAAACTCTGTCTGGGACATGATTACTCCCGTCTTTGGAAGCCTCTAGCCCAAGCCTAAACCTTGAGCTTGTCTGGAAGCTTCTGTGACAACTCTGACATATACATATCTAAGATTTTATTGAAAAAAAGAAAAAAATCCAATGACACTTTGAAAGACGGTATGGCAGGCTTCATTCAGGACCATTGTGATAGGGTCAGAGACCACTGCAATGGGATTTTAGAGTCAGGGAGACAGACTGGACTCAACCCCAAATACAACATGGGCAAGTGGGAATATATTAATATATCCAGGAACGGGATGGAGGTCAGTGGGTGGAAAATCACTAAGAGAAACATCAGAGGAAGGGAGGTGGGCAGTTCTGGCTAAACCAATCTAACAGGGTCTTGTGGACGATGAGGAAGTTGCTCAGACACTGAGGGTGATCAGACATCAGATATCGAGGGTAGGGGGTTCTGGTTCAGCTGACTTAGCAGACCTCCAGCTAAAACTGGATTTTACAAAAGTGCATGGCCTAGGGCAGCAGTTGCCAACCAATGGCCAGTGAACTGCTGGTAGCCCATGAGGTCCGAAAGGCTGACGACCACTGGCCTAGGTGACAGTTCAGAAGTCTGACTACAGTCTGGTCAAGCAAAAAATCTTTGTCAGTACCAAGGATATAAACCCCAGAAATGTGACATTTACCATACACAATAAAAATAGCTCATGCCCTGAGGTCCAGACTGAGCGTTTTATGGGACTTGATATTATTTCTGATTTTTCTTTGTATATAGCACTTTTTAAAAATATATTTTATTGATTTTTTACAGAGAGGAAGAGAGAGGGATAGAGAGTTAGAAACATCGATGAGAGAGAATCATAGATCAGCTGCCTCTTGCACACCCCACTGGGAATGTGCCCGCAACCAAAGTTCATGCCCTTGACCAGAATTGAACCAGGGACCTTTCAGTTCACAGGCTGATGCTCTATCCACTAAGCCAAACCGGTTTCGGTGTATAGCACTTTCTTAATATGCAATAATTTTAAGTCAATCAATCACATTTTACAAGTAATTACAAAATACAACTGCTCAGGGAAGAATTCATATAAATTCTGATCATTTTAATCGCTCCCTCTATTGAAATGGGCACTAACAGCTCACCTACCTGCTGCATTGTGCCTATGATATTCAATTATCTCAGGAATGGAACCAAACGCGTGTTTTTCAGCCAGATAATACTTCTTGGGGGAGGTTGTTGTTTCCTTTATATGATAATGCCTGAAACCTGATGAGCCTTCTCTACAACAAAAATCAAAATGTGTTAGAACCAAGTTGGAAGAATGTAACTTCACTCTGAAGACATGTTCTACCAGGTCACCACAGGGTCCCTACATATAGCCCCTCCTACTTGCTGCACACATTTTGTTTCTCCCCATGCCCACCTTAGCTTTGCTTTTCACATGTAAAGGCAGAGTTTTTACAGTGGTCACTGATAACATTATTGGCCCCTTGCCTGAGATTGTAACAGAGAGCATTTACCAACTTCGTTTACCAGCAGTTAAAGTCTTAACAATAGCTATTAGCTGGCTACCTCTGTCTGTCCCTGTTGTTGGAGTAAAATTGCAAATATTTAGAGGACTTACATCCACTTAAAAGTGAATAAACTAGACTCGTAAAAAATGTACAAAGTTCTATTTTAGATATCTTTCTAGAACACAGGGATTCTGGAGTCATCTCTTGCTAATAATATTACAAAGATAACTCCTACTGCCCTTAAGATAAAGCTCAGACCCAGATGATGTGGCCCACTGGTCGAGCTTCCACCTATGAACCAGGAAATCACAGTTCAATTCCCCATAAGGGCACAGGCCCAGGATGCAGGCTTCATCCCCTGTAGAAGGCATGCAAGAGCCAGCCAACCAATGACTCTTTCTCATCATTGATATTTCCATCTCTCTCTCCCTCTTCTTTCTTCTCTGAAATCAATAAAAATATAATTTTTAAAAATATATATATATAAAACTCAGACTCCTTGACATTGACATGACCTGTCCTCCACATTTATTTCTCAGATTCTCTCTCCTCTCTTCATCCTGTCTCCCTCATTCTACAATCCAGCTGCAACACACTCTTGTCAGTACCTGGTACTCATTCTATCTCCCTCCATCCCCCTGCCCCCTGCTTCTGGGCCCAGGCAGTTTCCTGGGTCTGAAACATTCTTTTCCCCTCCCTCCAATTTTTGCCCGCCTCACCTGTCATGTCTGTTTGCATGTCACTAGACAACATTAACAACCAACTCAGAGGTGTTGGGCTATGTACCCCATTTTCCCTATCCTACGCCAGCACACAAGCATTGCCCTCCTAGCATAGCACTTATTCATATACTATACTGACTGTTTCCTTTTCTGAAGCAAATTTGCTCACTGTGGTATCTGTAGTGCTTAACACAGTGCTCAGTAATTATTTGTTTAATATTGCTAACATTTTTATAGCTATTCTCAACTATGAAGCAAATTATTGAAATATCAATTAAAAATTTTTAAAGTACAGACTTTAAAAATCAAGTTCAGATTTTCTTTTTAATGTTAAAAATTAGGAATCCATACGAACGATAGAGGAACTTCATACCAAAACTATAAATTTAAAAGAGAGGGAGAGAGAGAATAGGATTACTTACCCTCCAAACTTTGTATAAAGGGAGACTGTGTACATGCCCGGTTGACTGGAATCCCTTACCATAAAACCGCCTTCTTTATCCTGAAATGCAAGTGAAGAGAATTGTTTCAGTTCAGTAACACATACCAATGCCATAGAGAAGAGTCAAGAACCCAATCTTGAACAATTATTAGCTTTTATCTAGAAAATCTGCTTTGGAGAAGCACAGCTTCCAGGAGGTTTCCTCCATATGACTTCCCGAGAGATTAAAGAAAGCACACCCACAATCCCCCCATCCGCAATCACACGCTCAGGATGAGAAGTCTCAAAAGGATGCTCCCTCGGGGCCCTTTCAGAGCAGCAGACAAGATTCTGCGACTCCTTCAAGACTTGGACACGAGGGGGCACAAGTTACTGAAAAATGTATTTCTTAATGATTGGGTTTCATTTCATACATCTTTAATAACTGCTAAAGGTCTGATCCTGACCCAATATCCTCTTCTATCCAAACAGCAATTTTTTTTCTATAAATATATCAGTGCTCTTTACAAACACATGTTAAAAAATCCTGAGTTCCCCTAGAAATCAGTGTTAAATATCATTCCTTACAAAAGGAGAAATGGAGGCACAAGTGACTTAATTAGAGAAAACCAAAAGGCAGAAGCAACAATAAGTGACTCAAGGATGAATCATCATAAATTTCAAGCCAAAGAGCAAGAGAGATAATGGAGTTAAATAAAACCCCACAAATAAATCTGATAAGAACAATTAGGGACAATGGTATAACATTTCTTTGGTAAACAGAATAGTAGCTACCATGTATTTACTAAGAATTTACTCTATTTTAATATGTTCTCATCTGTGGATTTACTTAATCCTCAAAACAGTCCAATGAGTAGGTACAAATGCTACCGTGTTTTCCCCGAAAATAAGACATTCTCCGAAAATAAGACCTAGGGCAACTTTGGGAGAAAAAATTAATATAAGACACTGTCTTATTTTCGGGGAAACAGGGTATCCCTGGGCACAGAGAAGTTGGATAATCTGCTCTAGGTCACATAACTATAATAATAAGTAGCAGACCCAAGATTTGAACCACAGGTCTTCTAGCTACCCACTCCCCTAGAGTTGCTGCTAATTGTGGGGTCACCAGGGAGGCATGTAAGAATCCTGCAAGGAAGTCACATGGTTAGGTGTCATTTGAATCAAGCAAAGTCACCTGCTATTGCTCTCTCAACATAAACTACAGAAACAATTGCCCAACAAAACCTTGACTGGTGGGGAAACACAGGAGATAAGATGAGAAAGCATGAGTTTAAAAGACTGGAAACCATTCGTGAATGGAATAGCTAGATACAGAATGCAGAGAACTGTAGAGGTCACCTCCCAATCCAACTCCTCACCTCACAAATGAGAAATGGGCTAGAAAAGTCACCGTTAGACTTGGGTCACCTTACTTAGCCCATTATAGTTCCCTCGATACTACATGTTATCCTTTCATGTTAACCCTTTTTAAAGTGTAAGAATTTCAGCACATTTATCTCCAAAGGCAACTAAATACTTTATAAAAAGCTAATTTCTAAAAGCTATCATGTACTTGTCACTAAGGGAAATGTGGGTCTCTGACTCCATCTTGTCCAAGGCTGTCTGTTCCTTTGGCCTCAGGCGAGTAGCTCTGCTTTGTTGCATATGGACATACAAATCACTAGAATTCTGCTAGCCCCTCCCATTTCCCTTTCCCTTGACATAAAAGAAGCCTGAACTCTCTACTTTCTTAGGATGGATTTGAGGGTTGGTCTCCCATCTTCTCGGTTGGCACTTTTGGATCAATAAAGCTTTCCTTACTCCAAAGTCTGAGGTTTTGAGTTTTGGCTTTTCAAAGTATCAGGCACACAGTCTTTGGGCTGGTAACATATTATTGATATTAATTATTTTAAAACAAATAACTTCAAATAAAAAAGGAAAAAGACATTTTAGTACCAAAGCAAACAATAGATCAGTAAAAGAGTAAAGAAAATGTTACCCATCTATAGCTATTACCTACTGTTATGGGTTTAACCTATTGTTAAAAGCTTGGTGGAGTCCTAACCCTCAGGACTTTCAGGATGTGACCTTATTTGGAGACTTACAGAAGGAATCAAGTTAAAATGAGGTCATGCAGGGCAGCCCCTAGTCTCAATGACTGGAGTCCTTAGAGAGGATAAATAGCAACACAAAGCCAGACATACACAGGGTGAGCAGAGAGACCTGGAACAGCTCCTTCCCTCAGAGCCCTCAGAAGGAGCCAACCTTGCCTTCACCTCGATCCGACTCCTCGCCTCTCGAACATGAAATAAGATATTTCTACTGTTGAAGCTACTTGGTTTGTGGGGCTTTGTTACAGCAGCCCCAGGAAACTAATACACCAATGTTCACTATTAAATGGTTAAGAAAATAGACCCTGTACTTACAGTATTTTTTAGGCTTTAGGGACAGGAATACATTAAATGATTGGATTCATTACAATTAACTGGTGCTAAAACCAAAACCATGAAACAAGTATAAATACTTACTTCACTCCTGAGGAGTAGTTCAGCTTTGCTTCTATTCATATTTCTGCAATACCATCTGAACAGAAAAAGATATATCTAAGACCTCAGATTTCCTAAATTATTTGCTATTCTTTTTAGACTTAACAAGGTGATATTTCTCATTTATTACAAATACAATAAATAAGAACAAGATATTACTCATAATTTCAGTAATACAGACAACCACTAGCAACATTTCATGTATATACTTCCAGATATTTTCTACCCATATTTTTATGAAAGTGGGATCAAACTATACTTGTTATAGCATAACTTAAATTTTTCATATAACTGCATGACTGACATCTTTGCAAAACAATATAGTTCTATGTATCATGGTATGGCTGTGCCATAATTTACTTAAGCTATTCTTCCTTATTTAACATAAAAATGATTTCCAATTTTTCACTATTATAATAATACCAAGAATAAAATTTCCTCCACAGACTCAAACGTGCAGGAATGTCACATTATTGTCTTGAATTCAATTAAATCTTATCCCAAGCCCCCATCTCACCAATAATCAACAGATTTTTTAAAATATATATTTTATTGGTTTTTACAGGGAGGAAGGAAGAGAGATAAAGAGCCAGAAACATCGATGAGAGAGACATCGATCAGCTGCCTCCTGCACACTCCTCACTGGGGATGTGCCCGCAACCAAGGTACATGCCTTTGACCAGAATCGAATCTGGGACTCTATCCACTGAGTCAAAACTGGTCAGGGCAGTCAGTAGATTTTTATCTCAAGTCATCATGGAGGGTCCCCATTGAATTTCAGGAAGAGTCAAAAGAAACAGAGCAAAACAGAAGAGCAGGCCTCCTGGGTTCTCCAGACTCACTGGTTCTATCCCTGGAGGTCCCCAGAGGCCCTGCTGTAGGAATCTGCCATGGCGAGGCAGCAGAGCCTGCCCTCCGTGCCACAACCCCAAGTGCCTGCTGATCTGTGTCACTCATTAGCCCTCAGGAAATCTTTTCTGAGGAAAGATGGACACTGCCATCACCCACCTCATTCTCAGAGGTGCTCCACACTCTCTGCTGCCCCACCCCAACCTCTCCATGAGATATTAATTGACCCTTGAACACACACACACACACCTTCTCACCCCAGAAGTCAAAAAAGTTATTCAAGTATAACTTTTGACTGTCCCAAGACTTTACTAATAGCCCACTGTTGATCAGAAGCCTACGGAACAGTCAATTCATACATATTGCATACATTACATACTGTATTCATACAATAAAGTAAGCTAAGAAAAAAATGTTACTCAGAAAATTATGAGAAAATACATTTACAGTATTTAGTGTAAAAAAAAAAAAAAAATCCGTGTAGAAGTGGACCTGCGCAGTTCAAACCTATATTGTTCAAGGGTCAACTGCATAAGCAAGGAGGCCAAAGAGCATGAACTCAGATTTTCTTTGGACTTTTGTTTTAAACTTAACTTCTTTTGTTTGTTTTCAATGCCCTTCAGTGGGCAAAAACTCTCTACCAAGGTCATATTTCCTGAGGTTCCAATGTTATGAAATCAGGCTGGCCCCTCTGGACATCTGAATTTTCCACCATTGGGTCGGCCTTTTATTAAACAGCCAGCACCTGAGACAAGCAAACACAAAGGCCTTCCCAAATGAAGGAAGGTAAAGATACAAAGAACAAAATACAATACAAGGTCTTTCTTGGTCTGGGTTCTTTTATGCAGCTGTAGAAGCCAAACGCAAATTACGAGCTGATGACTGTTATTTCACTGGGAGCCTGAGGTGATTACCCGGGTCTCAACATTATGGGCACCGAGATCTCACTGCTGAGGACCGCACTCTGTGAACTGAGCCCAAGTTCAACAAAACTGCAGTTCTGATCAATCAACTTCTGAATGCAATTAAGAAATATATTAATAATAACTGAGAAGAGAATGGATCCTCTCCCTAAAGCTTTTCCATTGATACAAGAAACATTGTCAGATGCCAAAAGCAGTCACAAAAATTAATTAAGGAAAGGTAACTGGAACTCTCATTATGCATTATAAATCAGCAAAAAGATTGAAAACAAAAAACAAAAATCGGCGTCACAACCAAACAACTGGTCAGAGGTGGGCCCCGCAGCTCCGTAAGGTGCAGAGGGTCTGGGTCTAGTGCAATTTCACGCGCTGGGCCTCTGGTTAGATATAAGATACTCAGAGAAAGAAAGAGGCCTTTCCCCACCCAGTGTATTCAAGCTCCCAGGAAAAGATAAAGGAAATAAGGAGCAAACAGCATTGCTGTTCTGAGGGGTTATTTTTATGCAAATTCCCCAAAAAGTCCATGTTCCCTCCCTAGGTATCAACTCAGAGTTTTAAGGATGTGATGAAGGAAGAAGAAAAGGAAGATGTGGTGAACACACAAACAGATGAACCAATTAGTGGTGAGTATTTCCTAACAATTTCTGTGGCTTCTCTCCCTCTTCTCTGAGACGTATCACCAGGCAATAGTGACTCTGCTGAATCAGTCCTGTCAGGACTGATATACACACAGGGGGATAGTGCGAAGGAGCTCACGTGGCAGGAGAGAGTGCTGACACACAGATGCCAGCCCACGTAAAGCTTGCCCTGCCTGTCACAGAAACGCCTCTGTTAGGGGGCATTTAGCTCTGCTTGGGGAAGGAGCTATACTAGAAAGCAAGCCCACGATTTGTAAGTAACTTGTCATCCCATTCTTAGATATCACAGCCCCAATGTGAACGATGTTGGCAGATCGGCTAGCCACTTCAAAATACCCCAGATGAACAAGATGTCATAGCAGTGTTTGATCCTGCTCAGAGAGAACGGAGTAGGATCCCGGCCAAGCTTCTTAGGTAGGGTGGGTTGGGTAAATCATAAGAAGAAAACAGGTATAAATGAAGAAAAAAAATAGAAAACATTCAATGAACCAGCTATCAACCTTTGTCAGTTCTTAATTTGGCCCTTGCCACCTATGCCCCCAACTCAAAGCCTTATTCTAGACTTTTTATTGTGTAAGGGCCCTTTCATTCTTGTCACCTTCTTTTTTTAACATTTTTTTAAAATTTCTTTAATGATTAAGGTATCACATATTTGTCCTCAACCCCCCATTCCAATCCCCCACTGCACCCCAACTCATGCCCCACCCCCCTATTGTCCTTGACCACTGGTTAGGCTCATATGTATGCACATAAGTCCTTTGGTTGATCTCTCCCTTTTTTCCCCACCCTCCCTTTGAGGTCCACCAGTCTGACCCATGGCTCCTTATCTCTGGGTCTGTTCTTGTTCATCAGTCTATGTTGTTCACCATTTCCCCTAGATGAGTGAGATCATGTCCTATTGGAAATATACTTATAAGAATCAAAAATGAGACAAGCAATAATCATTATGCTGAAAGGCATATGAATCAGTCTGTAGTGAGCTTCTTTCTGGGCCACCAGTTCTTTTGAGACCCAATTTCAATGTCAAACAGTTCCTTATGTATATATGTCCTTTAACACCTTTCCATCAAGAACATCTTATTGACCATCACAATGAACCCACTTTCTTTCCTGCAGCTGTTCCTCTGAGCATTTCCTCCCCAAATTGTAACCTGAGAGTGGAGGGAGCCCGGACTAGGATTCCGACAGGCCCAGGAGCTTCAAGCCAGCAATCCTGAGTCTAGCCCAATGGACTGGGCTGCTCCTAGGCCCAAACAAACAGCAGAACTCTTGACTTAACAGCTGCCAACAGGCGTTTACCTTGGGGACATTTAAGAGCGGAAAGACAGCAGGAGAAGAAGGGGAACTCTGGCTGTCACATTAAGAACAGGTTTCCCCTTTTCATCCGGCAGGCGTGGCACGATGCCATGTGGAATCCCTGACCTCTGGCACATGGCCGAGGAGACGCCCACGCCGAGACCTTACATAAGCTCACTTAGTCACACAGAGGAGGAGAATACCTCAGAGGAGAGAACATTTCCATCCTAAGATAGACCCAAAAACTCATGGCACTGAATCACAAACTTCGTAAAATCCTTACTTGTAATTCCGTGAGTCATAAGGGAGTTCTCACATTTTAGGGGATTATCTGGTTGTCAAGTGCACCCTTCTCCTCAAGGTCCCAAACCTAGCCAGCCCTTATGCCTAGGTCCAGAGCCCTTCCTAATACTCCATGATGCTGGTCTTGAATTCAAAACTTCATGGGATGTTTTAAAGAAAGCACTACTTCAGAAAAGTTAAGTTGTTGGATAAAAATATCCACCACTCCAATATCTCAACAGTCCATTTCATAGGAGACAGTCCTTGACCTGTTAGTTCTCAGATCACTTTAAAATCAGGTCCAAGTTTTCATCTTTTAGAATCTTCCCTAATTCTAAGGATTTGGCTATATTTTTCTAAAATATTTTTTAATATGTTTTATTGATTTTAGAGAGAGAGGAAGGAAGAGGAAGAGATAGAAACATCGATGAGAGAGAAAACATTGATCGGCTGCCTCTTGCACCCATACATTCATTGGCGGCCTCCTGCACCCCTCTACCGAGGATGGAGCCTGCAACCCGGGCATGTGCCCTGACCAGGAATCAAACCAGCAACTTCTTGGTGCATGAGATGATGCTCAACCAACTGAGCAACACTGGCTGGGCTCCAAAAATATTAAGAATAGTAACACTATTATTTATAATTTTCATTCCCTACTTATAAACAACCTTGAGGAATCATACCACTAAATGCTGTCACTTTTGAACCTATTAATCTTTTTTAGATCTTTAAGGTATACTCATGTTCTAAAAAGTGACATGGTCAGAGGAAACAGCTTTTCGTTGTTGTTATTATTGGTAGTAGTGTTTTTAAAGAAGTAAATGGAAACATCAGTACATTTCCTTAGTATAACCACAAAAGAGAGTTTGTTATATATAAGCCTCTCATTAACACCTGGCCATGCATGGCCAGTGGCATATGAATAGTATGCCATTGCTTTCTTTGTAAAGTAATCTGACTGCATTCACTAGGGGTCTTAACCCATTCATAACTAGCCGTTAGCCCAGTACATTGATTTTTAGAGATCTGGTTTAAGACAGTAAGCAGGAAGAGGGTTATCTCAGTTATTTTTACATATAAAGATGCCTACACAAACATAATGCCACACAAATAAGAAAATGATTATATAAACTACTGCATATTCATATGCCACATGTCTGGCTATACCCCCCAAGGCCTAGCACAGTACCTGATACATTCTAAGGTTTCAGCAAATATTTGATGAATTTATTACAAAGAAATATAATGCAGTTATAAAAGTGTTTCTGAAGAGTAATTAATGGCATGAGGAAATAGATTCATAATGTTCTATTAAGTGGAATAAACACAATATAAAACAGTTATCTACAGCATGATTCTATTTTTTTTAAAAAATTGAAGCAAAATATGCTAATGTTGACAGATCAATTCTATGTTATTTATGAGTAATTTTTCTAACTTTTTAATATTTTTCAAACAATTTTAAAACAATAATCATATATTATTATACTTAGAAAAAAATAATCAAACATGTTTTTTAAAGGCCACTCTGAGAAACTATATTCTGATTTTTTGAATGCATGAACAATGACCTGCATTTCAAAGTCAGTTAACGTGTGATTTGTTTACAATAAATTTAATTGTATTGCTATATAAAACCATTTATACACAGTACCTTCAGGTAAAGTGTATTATAGAAACTAATTCTCTCAGCATCTTTTACAACCTAGACAAGTAAGTGAAGCCTATGTTAGTACCACCTTCTAAAGATAATGAAAGATATCCATTAACCTCCAAGATTCCTTACATAATTAGAAAATGAACACATTTCCTGGTTCTCCACATTCACAAAATAAACATTTACTTACTCATATTGATCTAAGTTGTTTGATTTCTTTCCTGTTACATAATTGCTTGGGATATATCCTTCACTCCTAGAAAGAAGAAAAATACTTTAGGTAAACTGATATTATCTTACTAAGAGGTTGTTAAAAGAAAGATTATTGCTTTCTTAAAATAATGAAAGTATAATATTGCCTAAAGCTTATAAGAAAGACCAGCTGACCTTTGGTAAGTCAATATAGCAAAAGCATTTGATGCTTTACAAAGTACTTCCTCATTTGATACTCACAATAAGTCTGAAATAGGCAGGTATTTTGTACCTACTTTCTGGTGGGGAAACCAAGGCTTAGAAAGATTAAGGGACTTTCTCAAGGTCCCAAACCAGGAAGAGGATTATCTCAGTTATTTTTACATATAAAGATACCTACACAAAGCCAGCAACACTGCCAGCAATTGATCTCATCTCTAAACTTGTGACTAGGTTCAAGGCCCTTCCTAATATTCCATGATGCTAGCCTTGAATTCAAAACTCCTTGGGATGTTTTAAATAAACCATTACTTCAAAAAAGTTAAAGTGTTGGATAAAAATACCCACCACTCCGATACCTCCATATAGAACATTATTTCATAGGAGGTAGTCCTTGACCGTCACATCAATATTATCTGGAGTGCTTGTTAAGGCAAATTCTTGTGTCATACCCCAAGAGATCTGAATTGAGAAGGTCTATGTGAGGCCAAGAAATCTTTGATTTTTACCCCATATGACTCTTATACACACTACAGTTAAAGAAGAATTCATAATAGGTGGAATCTTGGTAGAAGCTAAGATTCTCCACATAAGAAGGAAGAGATTCATGTATAAAATTTAAAAATTGAGTGCAAACCTTGCAATCTTCACTCTGAATTTGAACTATTATTAAGAACTCATAATACATTCACAGCGAGTATGTACGTGTAGTCCTATTACATTGAGAAAGACCTAAGAGCAATAACAATCCAGTAACAGAATCCCAGCACCCCAACTATTGTCTCCAGGTATCATTTCTTGCTAAGAGGAGCTAGCACATGCCTGGCTGTGCAAGTATTTTATACATACAGTCATGCACATGTAGATATTCTCTCTCTCTCTCTCTCTCTCTCTCTCTCTCTCTCTCTCTCTCTCTCTCTCTCTCTCACACACACACACACACACACACACACACACCTCAGGGTGTCTCTCTCTCTCTCTCTCACACACACATACACACACACACCCCTCAGGGTGTAAAAACATAAAAACGCAGGGTTTTTTCAAGATCAAAATAATCCAATTAAACCTATCATGGATGAGAAAGAGACCAGTGTAATGCATCCTAATTTCTGGAAAGAAGTGGTCGATCCATTCATATTTATTGCAGAACTGATAAGAATCCATTGTGCTACTGCAAAGTAATAATGTTTAGTTTCACTTATGGCCGGCCAGCAGAACCAGTCTCCTTCCGTGGGAGTTACACGTTACCCTCTTCTCCTCAGCACTTAACCCCCACCACCCACCGTGTGTCATACTTACCCATATTTATCTCTTGCTCTCCACCAATGAACATCATTCTTCTCTAAAATGATATACTCCTGGCCTCTCTCTAACCTGAGGTCATGTGCTTCTGTCGCTTGGAAATCATACATAGCTACCACTATTTCTTCGCTATTATCTTCTTCTTCGGGTGGAATTGGTGGGGGAGGCCTTCGCTAAGAAAAGGAGAGAACGTGTGAAAGTTTAGTCTTCCCTCTGTGAGCAGTAACACACTGAGTGATTCACACATCACCACAGAACAGAGCAGAACCCTCGAGTCTGCCTCATATCATCTGGTGAACCCTCCCATAAGTCTGATGCTACTGGACCTCTCATGGGTTTCAGAAGATAGGGCAGGCACAAAAACTATCTTGAAACTTCAAAAGGCTTCTGCTCAGGGGCAGGGGCAGCATTCCAGGAAGAAGGAAGGGGTGATAGGTGAGTAGAAACCACAAAAGCGAGACCCACCGCACCAAGGGCCTGCAATGGGGAAACACAGCATGGAATGGAGACTTTTATCTGGTCTCCTCCCACCCAAAGGAATTTACATTTGTCTTCCTGTGTGCAAGACACACACTTAGTACATAATTCCCCATTTACAACTGAGGAAACGAGGGTGTAAGTAACCCACTCCAGGTCACTCCCACCAGAGTCACGTTGGATCAGGCCCTGCCTGGGTGCAGCGTACCTGTGCTTCCCACCATATCCCACTCTCCAAAGGAGTGTCACTAAATCTGTGCCGTAAGACTGCGGTTTTAAGACTAAAATGTTTCTGTGAAGTCCCACACCTCTTACACAATTCTCTTTTAATTATATATAATTTCAAAGAGGAAGAGGGAGAGAGAGAGAAACATCAATGATGTGAGAGAATCGTTGATTGGCTTCCTTCTGCACACCCCCTGACTGGGTGGGAATCAAACACTGACCTGGTTCATAGGTTGATGCTCAACCCCTGAGCCACACCAGCTGGGCCTCTTATACAATTCTTGAAGCCGAAATGCAGGCAAAATGCCAGATGATAGTAGGGGCCCCGATGATAATATCTGATACAAATAATACTATCTGATACCCCCAAAATCAAATCAGCTATAGCATATCTGTTTCTGATATGATGGGGGGAGGGGGCAAACAGCATCACCTGAAGGAATATAAACTTTCTCAATAAACTGCAAGTGCTTCCGAAAGTTAAAGGCCACCTACCTTCTTTGTTTCCGGTGCCGGAGGTAGTGCTTTTCTTATACCTGGAAATGACAGCAACAAGAGTAGGTCAAAATGCCATCTACCAATGATGGGTCATTTTTTTTTTTTTAATATATTTTATTGATATTTTACAGAGAGGAGGGAGAGAGAGAGAGAGCTAGAAATGTCGATGAGAGAGAAACATCGACCAGCTGCCTCTTGCACACCCCCTACCGGGGATGTGCCCGCAACCAAGGTACATGCCCCTGACCGGAATCGAACCTGGGACCCTTTAGTCTGCAGACCGGCGCTCTACCACTGAGCCAAACTGGTTTCGGCCAATGATGGATCATTTTAAGGAAAAATGAAAATGAACACATTGGCAAGAAGTCCACTCTGACTGTCTCACTGTAGTGGTTGCTCGTATTAATATTTGCAACAGGATTTTAAAGATTTTTAAATGCTGTTCAAATTGGTTTGTATTTCTGTCTTTCTGAGCAGGTTGTAAAGGCCACAGGGAATGGGGCCTTGTTTAGTCTTTGTAAACAAGTAGGATTATATAAAACTAAAAATCTTCTATTAAGCAAAGGAAATCGTCAACAAAATGAAAAGGCAGCCTATGGAAGAGGAGAAAATATTTGCAAGTCATATATCTAAAAAGGGATAAACATATAAAATATACAATGAGCGGAAACCGGTTTGGCTCAGTGGATAGAGTGTCGGCCTGCACACTGAAAGGTTCCGGGTTCGATTCCAGTCAAGGGCATGTACGTTGGTTGTGGGCACATCCCCAGTAAGGGGTGTGCAGGAGGCAGCTGGTCGATGTCTCTCTCTCATCGATGTTTCTAACTCTCTATCCCTCTCCCTTTCTCTCTGTAAAAAATCAATAAAATAAATTTTTAAAAAGATATATATATATATATATTGAACTCATACAACTCAATGGCAATAGTAACAACCATCAAAAATGGGCAAAGGAGCTGAAGACATTTTTTCCAAAGAAAACATACAAATGGCCAACAGATTTATAAAAAAATGCTCAACATCACTCGTCTTTAGGGAAATGCAAATCAAAACTACAACGATGTTTCACCTCACATCTATTATAAAGGCTGTTATAAAAAACACCAGGGATAAATGCTGGTGAGGACATGGAGAAAAGGGAGCCCTGTTGTTGGGTATGTCAACTGGTACAGTCAGTATGGAGGTTCCTCAGGAAAATAAAAATAGCTCTACCATAGGACCCAACAATACCACTCTGGGTATATACACAAAGGAAGTAAAATCAATACCTCAAAAAGATATTGCCCTCCCATGCTCACTGCAGCATGACTCACACTATCCAGGTAGAGAAACAACATAAGAGTGTTGAAAATGTGACATACAGGATGTCCCAAAAACACAAATATACCCTTTAACACCTGGTAGCTCAACTGATGTTTCATTCTTTTCAGCCAGATTAAGCTTTGAACAAAGGAATTTCACCCTAAAACGCTACTGGAAGTTTGAAAATGTAGTGGAAGTACAAACACTGACTTTATAATGATGCAAAGTGTCCCAAATATGTATATGCAGTTGAACACCTAGTAACTCACTTAATTTTCACTTTTTTAAGTATAGCTGATTTGAAATAATGAGTGAACCAGACTAAGCTTTGACAAAGAAAATTTATCCACTGGACTTTTTTATGGGGACACATACAAGATAAAGTTTACAGTGCAAACTGGCAATAGTTGATGAATTGAGGGCACACAGATGCCAAACAAAATGACTCCTGATGTTTGCGATTCCACTGCTTCACATTACCGGCAGAGCCTGGACCAGAACAGTCATTGGTTTGAGAACAGGCATTAACCAAAAAAATTTATTTATTTCTGTAGATTCTTTCAAATTTTGAAAATGAACTGTAGGTTAATAAACACTGACTTTATAATCATTCAAAGTGTGTATACATTTTGGGGGATACTCTATAGGTGTCACCCATATGGTATCAGTTATATGTGGAATCTTAAAAAAGTCAAACATCATAGAAAACTGAGCTGGAAATAGGAAAACAGGAATGTTAGTAAAAGGGAACAACCTTTCAATTGTAAGATGAACAAGGTGTGAGGGTCTAGTGTATACCATGGTGACTATAATTGATCTCTGTAGTGTTTTAAATGAAGTTTACGAAGCAAGTACAACTTAAACATTCTCACTCATACATAGAAAAGGGTAAACACGCGAGGTGATGGATGTGTTAATGGGAGGAATCCTTTCACAACTCATAAGTTTATCAAATCATCATGTCTTATTCTTTAAATACATTACAATTTTATATGTCAATTATACCTCAATAAAGTTGATGAAAAGGTGATGGCGGTGCCATACTAGGCTCACATTTTTAATAGTCACTTTTAGCAGCTTCCACATTGTGATAAAAGGCCCCACAAGCTGATTAGATGTTTGGATCCCATGAAATGGCCCCACTGCTAACTAAATATAATTATTCTTACAAGTACACCTGCCCAATGTTTTCTCTTTGCTAGAAAGTGCGAACGAAGGCCATACTTCAACAACCTCAAAATCAAAATATGTCACTTTCTCACTACACCAATATTATGTATAATCACTGAGCACAATATAATCATAGAACAAAACGAATACTTACTACTTTCAAAAAGATTGTATTTTTCACATCCAGGTGCTAGCTTTTCAGTTTGTCTGCAACACTGATAACTCCCATCTGCCCAAAATTTAGGATGATATTTAATCATAATATTATTGTTGTTCTTTATTTCTGCAATTCATAAACACATTAAATGATTAGTGAAATAAGGCAGAGATGATAACGTCTCCTTAGTAACAGTCAATCCTTCTTAATTTCTCAGATTCCATATCTATTATGAGAACTTCCTCTAACATCATCCAGCCCAGCATTCAGAAAAATCCACGTGGCTCTCTTTTGCCTCCTTTTTTGGTGAAGTCTCCTTGTTAGCAGAAGTAATCTGGGCTACACGGTAATGGATAAGCAAAGAAGTCAACCCACCACCATTCTGTTTTACAGAAGAAGCAAGGAGGGTTGTATGGGACAAATCCCTCATTTAAATACTTTTAAGCAAAGTCAATTCATCCACACCGAATGTTGACTGCCTTGTGAATGTCTTAAAAAATATCAGATCCCATTATCATAGAAGCCAAGTGTTTTATCACTTTAAATATATCATGCACTAAATAAAAGCATACTTTTCTTAGAAACTATATATATGCCACTAGAAGGAATCAGATTATTTAAAAAAAAAAAAAAAGTTATCTTCAATAAACAGATGTATCACTTAGGTAACAGAATGTCCTTGGAGAAATACTTATTGTATAGTAAAAGATTATAAATGCAAGGTACACTAGCTGTGTTTCTGTTTTAGTGATAACAATGGCCTGTCCTACAATTATATACAGATTATATTCATTATAGGAGTTTTACCTTCTTTCAACTTCTTCACCCACTGGTCCCTGCTTTGTGCACTAGGTGCAAAAATGTAAAGTGTGTTAGCATCATGAACAACCTAAAATAAAAGATAAGACAGAGTCGGTGAGAAATACTCAGACACAGCACTTTGTCTAGCACAGAGCCCTTGGTACCACAGACACTGATAAATGATTCTGAAATAAGTGAATAAAAGTCAGTTACTTGGGACCCAAAGAACCTAGATTCCTGCCTCAGAAAACGCATCTGTTTCTTCATGTCTACATCGAATAGGATACACGTTTTGAAACGGGCCAAGCTTTATAGAAGAAAAGGTTACAGAGGCCAGGATGCTTCTGTAATCTGGTTTCTTCCCGTGACCTAATTCACTAAAGCTCCTTAGGTAAACCCGGTGTAACAGGGATGATTCTCATCCAGTGTTTTTCTGAATACTATTTAGGTAAATGGACCACTCCTGAGGCGTCACTGCTGTACTTTCTTTTTGCCACTATAAATAATTGCCATAACTAACTATTAAGCACTGACTATTCTAACTCTATGCTAAGTGCTTTACACACCTTCACTCAAGGATTCCTACCATCACGCCATCAGTATTTTATAGATGAAGAGACTAAGGCCTACCCATGGACTCTTCACGCCTGTGTAACACCAGGAGGCACCCTTCACATAGAATGCACTGCGAGCGGTACCCAGAATGCTGTGCTCCTTAACTTACTTGTCATTATTTGGCAGGTATTCCAGAAAGCCACAATCCTGATTCCAAAGCCCAAACTTCCTACCAGTGTCTCTGTGAGAGGTAACTTCTGTCAAACAACTGGTGCGTCTTATGGTCTGGAGCGTCTTATGGTCCGAAAAATACGGTAAGTAGTCTTATTACTCATGCTTTTAGAATCTTATGTACTAAAGAGCTAATATGATAACTAGATTAAACAGCAGAACAACTGTCCGGACAACCTTCTGGAAAAAGCCAGGGCTGCGAGGGCTGAGCCCCTTGCACGAATTTTGTGCGTTGGTCTTCTAGTGAGTAATAAAATTAAACCTGGGAAAGTAACCCAAGAATTTTATCTTTGGTCTTAATGTCTGTCACAAGGCAGAAACACCTTGATTGTGTAAAAAACATATATGGACAATGGAAAAAGAAGGGGACATATGTAATATTTTTAACATAAAGATTTAAAAACCTATATCATAAAAGCCTAATATGCAAACTGTCCCCTCAATGGGGAGTTTGACCAGGGAGTGGGACCGGCCAGCTAACCATGGGAAAGGTGGCCCTGGCTGGCGGCAGGCAGCCACTAGGGACCCTACCTGTGCACAAATTTCATGCACTGGGCCTCTAGTATCTATAAGAATAAAAGCATAATATGCTAATTAGACTGGATGTCCTTCCAGAGGAAGCCAGGACTGCGAGGGCCAAGGCAGCTGCCATGGATGCCTCAGGCCACAACTGCAAGGCCCGAGTCCCTTGCACAAATTTCATGCATCGGGCCTCTAATATATATATATGGCTAGCAACCTCTCTTCACCACATCCACAGCCACTGGATTGAACACAAATAGCCCTTTCATTGGTAAATGACTGTTCCTGGACATCTTCAATAGGTAATTCTCATTCATTTCTATCAAATAAACTTAGTCAAAGAGCAATGTGAGCACCATAGAACAACAGTGGTATATTTCATTCAGCGATGAATTCATCCACCTAGCATTTTGATGGGGCTACATAGATACAAAAGCGTATCCAACAATAACCTTATTTTCAAGACACGGATAGAAATACTTTACAACAAGACAGAAAATGAGACATGATAGAGAGGTAAAGATAAAGCACTAAGAGAGATGTGGCGATCTGTGTTGCCTCGTTTGGTCCATGATTGTCACACCTGTGATATTGTGATTTATAGTAAGAAAATAAATATCTATTTGAAATTCATCATGGTCCCTGGCACAGAAATCCTAAAACCCTTGGACTATCCAGTGCCTACAGTGACAAAGATGTCTTTTGTTGTGCTAATGAGGTAACTTCCAGAAAGTACCTAAGCATGAGGGCTGGTTGTCAACAGAGGCAACCTTGTGATTAAAGGGTTGGCACTTCCAGTTCCCCTACCCCACCCCACTCCAACTCCAGGGAGGGGAGAGGGACTAGAGACTGAGTTCCATCAGCAATGGCCAATGATGTCATCAATCATGCTTATGCAAAGAATCCTCCATAAAAACCCTAAAAAGGAGCAGGTTCAGGGAATTTCTGGGTTCATGAATGCGTGGAGACTTGGGGAGAGTGGAGGGCATGACACCTCCATGCCCTTTCCCCAGGCCCTGTCCTATGCATCTCTTCCATCTGGATGCTCCTGAGTTACAATCTTTCATAATAAACTTGTGATCTAGTAAGTAGAATATTTCTCTGAGTTCTCTGAGCTGTTCTGTAGCAAATTACTCACACCCAAGGAGGAGCCTGAGGAAACCTCCGATCTATATAGCCAGTAGATCAGCAGCACAGGCGATACCTTGGGGTTGCCACTGGCATCTAAAGTGGGACCAGTCTTGAGGGACTGAGCCCTTAACCGATGGAATCGATGCTATCTTTGGTCAGATAGTGTTAGAACTGAAACGAATTGTAGGACACCTAGCAGGTGTCAGGGAATTACTTGGTGGTGTGTTAGAAAACACACAATAGGGTGGTGAAGGCCTGGGGTGGGGTGGGAACTGGCTGGTGTGGGTCAAGGAGGAAAAGGGGGGGAACATCTGTAATACTCTCAACAATGAAGATTTTAAAAATTAAAAAAAAAAATATATATATATATATATATACACACACACATATATAGAAAACACACATACACACATTGGAATTGGTACCCAGGTTCATCAATGCAATCAACTCTGTACCTAAGAATTAGGTAAAAATGTACCATGTAGCAATCATTCTGAATTGAACAGGGATATCTGGAAAGAACTGCTAGGGCTTTGAACCTTCCAGAAACCTGGCTGGGTGGTGATAATTCATTACAATAATCCACTTTACTGAGTCTTTACATCAGGCTACATACACTGGCCCATGTACTCCATGTGGCAGCCCATGTCTCTATTAGCAATAGGACCCTCATTTTCCAGATGAGAAAACCAAGGTAGGTGAGCTTGCGTCATCTGAGTAGGGCCTGTTTGACCTCCAAAGGCTCTTCTTGTTCTTGTTTGCCCCAAACACCTTCACGGGGCTCCCTGACTAGAATCTGTCTTTTCAGGGTCCAGTCTAACTTCTCCTCAAAACTCACCTCTTGACAGTATGGTGAGCCTATAACTTTGTTAAAGGTTGTTCGAGGCTAGCCAATCAGAGGAAAACCAATCCAAACACAGAGTTCTGATAACTAAGACTAATACATTACCTAGCTAACTCGGGACATTTGTATTCCCATAGAGAACTATCTATAGACAGCACCCTCAACCTAAATGATAGCCATGGATTTGGCATCTCAGACAAGCCGGTGGGTGAGCTATCCGGGTCCAGTATCCTTCTCTCAGCAAACCCCGGAGCACACCTGGAAGCCACCTGTGTCACCCCCTGGGGCAGCTGACTGGGGCAGAGGGCATGCAGGGAGCCACAGGCTGCTCAGTATGTGCCTCATCTTCCGGTGAGTCATCCTGCCACAGCAGACAGTGTCAGAGAGGGAAGAGCTTTGCAGACCTGGAGGCACAGAAGCCAGTTCAATGAGGAAGAAATCACCACCAGCACCACCACCACCCCCTTAGCAACAATCCTCAGTAGTTACCCTCCCTCCTATTTGCTTCTTCATTCACTCATTCCTTATTCAAGAGACCTTCGCGGGCAATGCATCTAAGAGCTGCTAGACAGACAGATCTGGGTTCCATACTCAGGAAAGAAATGCCGCCTCCTAGGGAACCCCCTTGCCATCAGCAGACTCAGCTAAGGAAGCAGCTGGCTCCTCCTCCTATGTCCTCTGTTCCTTCCCGGGTGAGAATATGCTGAGGCGGGAAGCCACCTCTTCTTCTTTCTTAGTGTCTTTTGAAAATGTCTACTTCTACTTTTCTTTTTATCTGGCATTGCATCTGCATGTGATACAAACTTCCACTGTGAAGATGTGAAACTAGAACCCAAACTTTAAGTTATATTTAATAAGAGAATACTTTCTACCTTTTAAACCTTGCTGGTTTAAATCACATAGTTAAAGCTCAACTTTACCTCTTCTTCTTTTCTAAGATGATTTTTAAATTTTTCTTGTATGTATTCATTTCAACAACTAAAAAATGGTTCTAGGTGGAATGCTTCCTGTTCTCATGTTTTCCTCATCATCCTAAACCGATCCAAAGTGTGCAGAGCAGATCTTTCTCAGGATTCCTAATCCTGAGCCGAGAACATGAGAACCGCAGCTCCCCACACCCACCTGCCACCCCGCAAATGCATAGCAGCCATTGGGAGTGTGATAGGAGTGGTTCTCTGCTAAACTTCCAATCACACACACATACACACACACACACAATTATACATGCGCTTAACTTACTTAATCAAGAACAAGATTTCAATTGGGCTTACTTCTAGATCTGAGGTAGGTGTAGTGTTAACAGTATCAGTAAGAGAAATAATAATAACAACAACAATAACTGTTACAGTAGTTAGTTAGTTAGCTAGTTAGTAACAAAGAAAGGGAGCAAATGAAATCAGACATTAAGCCTGATTAGCTAGGAAGGGCAGTTTCACAGACTCCCCAAGGGACAGCCGCTTCCTCCACAAAAGGGACTTAATCCCCAGGCAGACAGGAAGAACTGCTTTCCACATCCCCCGGGACAGCCTGCCAGTGCGCCTGCCCGGGGTGGGATGGGGGCAGGCTGACTCAGAGGGAAATGCCTCTGCTGAGGCCTGCATCAGAAGCCAGACGACAAGCGGGAGTATATGCAGTGGGAGCCCAATGGCAACACAGCGGGAGGAGTCCCACCTGGGGAGATGGGGAAAGGATAGGATAAAGGCAAAGAACGCAGGAAAATCCAGGAGAGGGATTGGGTGAGGGAGGGCCAGCACACGCCGGAGAAGAATAGGGAGAAGACTGGACAGTTTGAAAGAAAGCCTGCCTGTTACCGAAACCAAGACAATGTATGGAGGATGAGTAAGGGTCCGGGGGCAGTTGCTGCCCACCGCTACATCCCCGAGGGAATATTATTTCTTTTCACCCCGATAAAACTTGCCACTCACGTGTGCCCTCACAACACTGCAAGGACCCGTTTTCTCTAGCAACACAACTAACACTTACTTTGCTTTCACTGTGTATATAAACTATTTATACACTGAGTGGCCAGATTATTATGATCTCTGAATGCAAAATAATCTGGCCACTCAGTGTATATCACCCTAGTTAATCCTCACACCAACTAGGAAGCGAATGCTAGTATTGTTATTATTCTCATTTTCCAGAAGGGGAAAGAGACACAAAAGCAGTTAAACTTGCACAAGGTCACAGAGCTCATCAGCGGCGAATCGGGTGGTATGGCCTCTGATTTGCCTCTCTAAGCACCACACTGTCCCTCCTCTTCAAGCAAAGGAATGACAGACCTAAAGTGAGTGACTGGGGAAAGGGAAATTAATTGTAGTCCCTCCTCCTCCTGTGTTATTCTCACCTGAGTGAAAATAAGCAGATGCCGCTTTAAAGCTTGAATATCTTCATCTCCCCAACCGGGAAACGTTCATTTCAAATGTAAACTGGTAACTTCACAGTAGCCATGAAAAACACCCACGCTCTGAACTGTGCCTCTATGTTGAAAACACTTTTGCAACTTTTCCCCTCAGCACGCAGTGAGACCAGAGCCCTGGGCACGGGCGACTTGCACTGGAGATGCTCATTGCCCAGGGGAGGGGTGGGTGGGAGCTGGAGAGAGGTCCTGCCTGTCTGCTTCCAGGTCTGAATGCCAGGGCCCACCTCTGCACCCCGGTTGCCAGGCATGAGTGCACCGTGAGGGGCAGGGGGTGACCAGGACGCTCGGATGCCCCATGGATCCTCCAGGGCGTGACAACACGTGTGCTTTGTAGGGAGGTGTTTTCATTCACAAAAGGAACGTGGACGAGAGACATTGGACATCTGTGAACCTCAGTTTCCTGCCATAAGTGAGAATAGTGTACTTACCTCCCTTATAGATGAGTAGAAGAATCATTACGAAGGAAAACGTGAAAAAACACAACCTTTTTAGAAGGCATGCTTTGAGGGACAGGCAATGCTAATACACTTTGCATCACAGGCAGCCTTTGAATCTCATTTTTGTTCCAGGGGCTCGCACCTACCCCTCCTCCACTTCACAGAAAACACCTCACTCCACCTTTTTCCGTCTCAGTCTCCACTCCCTTTCCTAACTGCTCTATGACCAATCTGGATAATAAGCAGCACGTTAGGTCTGAGGCTTAGAAACTCGGGGCATTGGTAGAATCTAACAGACCAAAAACAAGAATAAGAAAATGTCCCAGCCTGGCATGTATGGCTCAGTGGTTGAGCACTGACCTATGAACAAAGGGGTCAGGGTTTGATTCCAGTCAGGACACATGCCTGGGTTTGGGGCTCGATCCCCAGGGCGGGGCATGCAGGAGACAGCCAATCAATGATTCCTCCCATTATTGATGTTTTTATTTCTCGCTCCCTCTCCCTTCCTCTCTGAAATCAATAAAATATTCCTTTAATGTTTCAACCAAGACTTAAAACGTTTATGAAAAAAAAAACAACACACAATTACTATCCAAGTACAAACTAAACTAAAAATCAACTACCATATGATTCAGCAAGCCTACTTCTGGGTATTTATCTGAAGGAAATAAAATCTGGATCTTGACGCTACCTCTGCACTGCCGTGGTCACTGTAGCATCGTTGACAATAGCCGACATATGCAAACCACCTAGATATCCAGACAGATGAATGGACAAAGAAAAGGTGTTGTGTCTATATACCATGGAATATTGTTCAGCTTTAAGAAAAGAAGGAACTCCCATCATTCTTAACTAAGTGGATAAACCTGGAAGACATTATACTAACTCAGGTAAGCCAGACACAGAAAGATAAACACTGAATGACCCCATTTATGTGGAATTCGAGTCACAAACACAGAAGCAGAGAATAGAACAGTGGAAGTCAGGGGCTGGAAGATGGGAAAATGGGGAAATATAGGTCAAAGGGTCCTGAGGTAGGCAGTTAGACAGACAGGAAAGACAATGGGCCAGGTACATATAAGGTCCCCAGGCGGAAAGTTCCAGGTGCCTAGCAACAGACAAAACTGCAAAAACAAGTGCCTGCCCCAAGGGTAACCTTTCCTCCCCTAGCAGACTCCTGGTCATGCAGTTTAACCCCCTGATCTCCCATAGTGCCGGCCAGGCAGTTCGGGATCGTCCCCTGACCTCTCCTCCGTTGGCCTGTTGCTAGTCCATGTGGTAGACGCCCTGGGGGAAATGGATAAAGGGGCCAGAGAACAGCCCTTCAGCACTCAGGCCCCACGACAGGAGGTTCTGACCCACGTCAGATACATCTAGGCCTCGGTGGTGTTTCAGCTCCAGGCCCAGAAAAGCAGCAAATCCGGACGAGGGATGCCACGGATGACATCAGATCCGGGTGCAATGACCAATGACCCTGGTACCAACCAATCAGTGGAGACCACGACCCTGAAAGGACACACCTGGAGAGCTGATGACTATTCTACGGCAGTGGTCACCCACCTTTCAGCCCGGCGGCTGGCGACCACTGTTCTATGGAATCCTCCCCTGGCCTCAGAGAATTTTATCCTTAAGATGGAGGACCCAGCCGAAACCGGTTTGGCTCAGTGGATAGAGCGTCGGCCAGTGGACTCAAGAGTCCCAGGTTCGATTCTGTTCAAGGGCATGAACATTGGTTGCGGGCACATCCTTAGTGGGGGGGTGTGCAGGAAGCAACTGGTCGATGTTTCTCTCTCATTGATGTTTCTAGCTCTCTATCCCTCTCCCTTCCTCTTTGTAAAAAATCAATAAAATATATATTTTTTAAAGACAGAGGACCCAGTATGGCTCTCACTAGGTAGCATGCCCACACCCCTATTTTGAGTTTCCCCTCTTTCTCTCTCCCCGCCCCTCCCTTCTTTCTTCCATAAGCTCTAAGGGCCCCTTCTTTTGCCTCTGTACCTTGTTTCCTGAGCCTATTTCTTCTATGACTCACTTCTACTACTGTGACTTTATAAATAAACTTTGCTTTATAGGTTGAGTCTTGGCTCTGAATTCTTTCTTAGCCAGAACTCAAGTGCAGAGGTTGCTGAAGCCAGGTCTGGTCTGACTCTACGGGTCTCACCCCTGGTGCCATTATCGCCGCCAACAGTACCGAGTGTCTCAGTTACGCAAGACAAAGAGTCCTGGAGATCTAATGCACAACCTGGTGGCCACAGCTCTCCATACCATACTGGATACTTGAACTCTGCTAAGAAGGGAGCTTTCACGTGTTCTCACCACACAGAAAAGAATGAAAATGGTATGTGAAGTGATGGATGTGTCAATTACTTGGCTGTGGTGATCATTTCTCAGGGTATAGACATATATCAAAACATCAGGATTTTATACCTTAAATAGATACCATTCTCATGTGTCAGTTATACCTTAATAAAGCTGAACTTTTAAAAAAATCAACCACTAAAGCAATGACAGGAAACAGTAATGTCAAACAGTATGACTAAAAGCCCAGAATAACACTGTCACAGAACATGCCAGCTCACCTGAAATGGATATTTATTCTGACAGGGAATGACACCGTCATCATTCTTCACTACTTCCACACACTTTATTTTTGAAACATCAATAAATCCCTTTCTGTATTTTTTCTGTGGAAAGAAAGAAAAAATAAAGAACTATTACAATCATAAGATATAAGAAAACATGACTCATGGTAGCATTTGCTAATGAAATCACTGACTCAATATATTATAATTTTAAAAAATTATTCAAAACACTAACACTGTGAGGACTATCATCAAACTAATTAAATCCTTTAATTCCTAAAGATGAAATGGTTCTGCCTTGCCCCCCCAAAACCTCTGGAACAGAACAACGGACTCCCTCTCATGGTTGCCTTCCCGTCTCAGACACGCATCTTAACTTCTTCAACTTCTTTTTTTTATTATTCTTTATCGTTGAAAGTTTTATATATGTCTCCTTTTTCTCACATCGACCTCTCCCCGCCCACTCCCGCACTCCTTCTTCAACTTCCTGAAGAGAGCCCCCAAAAGATAGCATCAATGACAGAACCAAACGCTAGCCAGGTACCTCTCCCCTCCAGCACACCGAGCCAGGAGGGCACAGGGTGGCCTCGGCACGTCCATGTGAAGCCTCTGCTCAGACTCGGACTGAAGGCTCCACTTTCTCCCCTATCGTCCCCTCCTCTCCCCCCCCCCCCCCCGTACCCCTCACTGCAAATCTCCCTGCAGCAAACACCTGATGGCATACCAAGACAGCCCTCCCCCCCAAAAATCACTCATACCCATAGAGATTTCTCACATGAGTAAGCTCAGATTTGACAATTCATTCCAGGAAAAAACCCAAAGGAGTACAAAGTACGTGCGAAGATAACTTGACATATTGTACATTAAAAATATTGCAAATACAACGTAGAAATAAAGAATGTTCGCTGAATAATATTAACTGATACATGCCACAGATAAACCTGTATAAAGACTAAGGCTACTTAGGGGACGGGATGGGGGGATAGATATACAGAATAGAAGAAGAAATATAATAGACAAATGAAGAGTGTAGTATGGGGGGGGGGGGGGGAATCTCAGTCATTCCCTGGCCCCAGTCATACAAAATTGCTTCATCTAATACTTGGAAATGTCCCTCTGGCCCCAATCTGTGGGCCCCCTGCCCGCTCCCAGGAACCTGCTCAGCACCCTCACTGTCACCAAAGGACTTTCAGACCTGCCAACTGTCCCAGCCACCAGCTCCCATTGGACTAGACTGCTCTGGGGGTCATTTCACCAGTACTTCCCCCTGCGTTGCCCTCCCTCCCGCTTCTTTTTCTGGCTCCCTCCCCTCCTCCCCTCCTCTGAACTCCTCCCCACTACTCCCTCCACCCCCCACCTCACTAACCCCACACACATCCCTTGACATTTTTGCAGCCCCTATTCATGCCTTTCCCTGTTCCCGCATGCCGGGCTGCAGAAGGTCCAAAGACAACACTGTCTCCTTGACGCTTGGCCAGACCTCCACGGCTACCTCTCGGTTCTTCCGTAGCATCTCCAGCAGAGAGACCTGGTTCTCCATGGAACCACGGTCTCATCGGAACACAGACCCTTCCCATTCCCCTGCTCACAACCGCCCAGGACTTTACGGAGAAGAGAGCCTCCATCCCACAGGCACACCCCCAGCCCCCTCTCCTGCAGGTCAGCCACATTTTAAGGTTTCCCCTTTCCTCTTTCATCCTGTGTCTAAGAGAAGATTAATAGGATACAACAGTTAAGATGCTGTAGGTTAGGGGTGTCGAACTCAATCAGAAAAGGGGCCAAAATCTAAAATCCAGCCTAAATCGCGGGCCGAATGGTTTACTGAACAGTCATAAACTGTCATTGTGATGGAAACGCAGCGGAGAGCAGTGATGACAGCGCGGTGCGGGCCACATTGCAAGGCCTGGCGGGACGGATTTGGTCCGCGGGCCTTGTGTTTGACACATGTGCTGTAGGTGGTACTTCGCAGAAGACGTTTCACTTTAGTGCTCACAAATCCCCCTCCTCTCACAGATGAGGGACCTGCTGCTCAGACTATGGACTCACATTGCCCAGCTGACCCCAGCGCCACCCAGACCCTGGGAGGTCCAGCTGCAAGCAGGTGACAGGATTGGTGGAGACACGTCCCCTAGAGGGCAGCAAGGCTCCTGGGCATGGACTGAGCCGTCACCAGGAGAGGGAGAGGGACACTCTCCTCCCCAGCCATGCTCTTCCAACCATGGCCTTCTCCTGCCAGAGCCTCCTTCTCTCCCAGCCACACCGAGGGCCCTTCTTTGGGCCCCGCCACGGCCGAACGCTTCTCTTCCCTTCCTGCAAAGACATGTGCTCGCACCCCCAGCCTTTCATTTCCTTCCCGCCCACTCCTCCTTCACCACGTGCAACCTGCCTCCCCCACGCACCCCCACCCCGTCACCACAGCCGGCTAAAGCGGTTCTCAACAACATCACGTGCACAAACCCAACCTCGGTGGTCATCATCAGCTCACACCTTCCTGAGACATCGGGGCATGCCGATTCCCTTCGCCTTAGTGGTCCTGACGTGGGGGCCTCTGTTTTCCCTTCTCACCCTCCCCTCAGTCTCCACAGGACACACCTAGTCCAGATCGGGGAAGCACACGTCCTACGCGGAGAGTCCAACTACTGTGTCGTGTGCTCCTTCCTCAGAGCCACTCTGGGAAGTCAGACCCAGAGGGAACACACTAAAATTCCGCAACTGTCCCATCTCTACCTCTGAGTCAAAAAAACAGTATTTATTAAAAGTAGGTTTACAGTCGTGAGCATGCGAAACACGGAGTTTACCCTTGTATTATTATGGTATTATTTTCCACACAAACAACTGTAAACCTATTTTTGCCTGAGCCTGTAAAATGCAGTGAGTACTGTACATTAGAAAGATGCTAAGAGAATACAGAGGAACTCTGGCTTACATGACAATTTAGGCAGAGAAATCCTGATGTATGATGGGGGCGGGGGTGGATGAACAGCACACGTGAAGAAAAACATACTTCAGAATGACCTCAGTTGCCTCTTCTGTAAAATGGAAATTATAATAGTACCTACCTCATCGATACTATTGCAGAGCTGTGAGAATTAAATGAGTATTTGCAAAGTGCTTAGAAGAGTGTCTGACCTGTAGTATAGTATCTGTGTTTGCTACATAAAATAAATAGCCAATTGCTTTGACGGCTGATGCACAGTTGCATGCAGCGGGATGGTGCTCGATTGGGGTCAGCTCATAAGGAACCCGCAGCCCCGTGCTGAGAGGTCTGGCCCAGCATGGCCACCCCACCCCGTCCCTGGGGCTGGCACCTGTCAGCGGGCAGAAGGAAGTGCCAGAGCCCCACCCTCGTGTGAACGCGTCACACATCACTGCAGAAGCCTCAGAAAACACTGACAGCAACAGAGGGCCAAATGACCCTTCACCCCCAACCCCGGAGGACATCGCTGCTGGCATCACCGACTTTTCCAGACTTTGCTCTGGGATCCTGGACCACCCGCCAGCTCCCGCAGCCCTGGAGCCTCAGGCTACGTACGCTCTGCTTCCAGGACACCCATCTCCACCCACCGCCTGCCCCCGAGACTAAAGGCAGCTGTTAGACGCAGTCCATCGATACAGAAAAGGGGGTGACTTCTATAGTGAGTTTACTTACACCCCCTAAGTCCATGTTCTGTGATATAGAATTATGTTGCTGTGCTAGTATTTGGGCTTATGGATGCAAATACCTTGCTATGAAGTTGGAGGATAAATGTTCAAATTCAGGTTGCTCCTTCCTGATGTTATCCATCCACCAGCAAGCACCGATGAGACACCCAGCACCGCGGCTTCCGAGCTCTGGAAGGGATGCGGGTCTCCTCTGGAGGGGTTCACAGGAGCGTGGCGGATGGAGAAATTGGGGGGATGATCCGGCATCGAGTAATGATGAAGCCAGGGAGCACGTGGCGGCTGGGGAGGGGCAGTGGCTGGGCCAGGAGAGGCTGGAGTCGTTTCGGGGAGGAAGTGATATTGGGATTTGGTTTTTAAAGGATAAGTAGGACAGTTTCCTGTGGAGAACGTAAAGAAGAGTTCCAAGCCGAGAGGAGAGAGGGATGGGGGGAAGCGTTGATTTAGAGAACGGAAAGAAATTCATTATGACTGAGGTTCAGAGTGGTGCAGGGGAACTGCAGGAAATGACACCAAAAAGGCTGAGACCGCCCTAACCGGTTTGGCTCAGTGGACAGAGCGGCAGCCTACACACTCAAGGGTCCCAGGTTCGATTCCGGTCAAGATCATGTACCTTGGTTGCGGGCACATCCTCAGTAGAGAGTGTGCAGGAGGCAGCTGGTCCATGTTTCTCTCTCATTGATGTTTCTATCTTTCTATCCCTCTCCCTTTCTCTCTGTAAAAAAATCAATAAAATATATTTTTTTTTAAAAATAAAAAGGCTGAGACCAAGTTAGAAAAATGCTTATATGCCAGACTAAGGAGTTTGGTTTATTCTTAGTGGATCTAAGCAGGGAGTGAGGAATGCTGAACTGAGGTTTGTTTTAAAAAAGATATTAATGGCGTGTGAGGAACGGGTGCAGACAGGTGGCTAGCTGGGAGACTGCTACAGGAGTCCAGGTGAGGACCTGGCTGGCCCAGCTCAGTGGTTGAGGTCCATCCTATGAACCAGGGGGTCACGGTTCGATTCCCAGTCGGGGTACATGACCAGGCTGTGGGCTCAATCCCCAGTGTGGGGCGTGCAGGAGGCAGTTGACCAATGATTCCTCCTTATTGGTGATTGTTTCTATCTCTCTCTCCTTCCTTCCTCTCTGAAATCAATTAAAAAAAATTTTTTTAAGAGTTCAGGTTAGGGATAGTGAGGTTGTGAGCCCAATAAGTAAGGTGGGAGAAGCAGGGATGCCAGAATATTAGGAGGCAGAGTCCACATGACTTTGTGGTTAGTTAGAGCTGGGGATTCAGAGGGGAGAAGCAGTTGGGGAGCCTCGGGGACTTTGAGTTTGAGTGCCGCAGACAGATACCAGACTCCTGAGGGAGGATCAGGTTTGAAGGCAAGGCTGGGAATGCTGGTGGAGCTGACTATTGGACACCAGGTGGATATGTTTGCAGGGAGCTGCTCAAAC